GGAAAATTCCACTTAGGGTTAGGGTTAGGTCACTATGAACTCATAGAGCAAAATGGACATCGCGAACAAACTCGGAGTGCTTGGGTATGGTTAGGAGGGCACTGACATTTCTAGCCTGCCCTATCTATGTTTGCTGGGAATATACATGGGAAAATCCCATTGGAGGAAAATTCCACTTAGGATTAGGGTTAGGTCACTATGAACCCATAGAGCAAAATGGACATCGCCAACACATTCGGAGTGCTTGGGTATGGTTAGGAGGGCAGTTACTTTTCTAGCCTGCCCTATCTATGTTTCTTGGGAAAATACATGGGAAAATCCCATTGGAGGTAAGTTCCACTTAGGGTTAGGGTTAGGTCACTATGAACTCATAGAGCAAAATGGACATCGCCAACAAACTCGGAGTGCTTGGGTATGGTTAGGAGGGCACTGACATTTCTAGCGTGCCCTTTCTATGTTTCCTGGGAAAATACATGGGAAAATCTCATTGTAGGAAAATTCCACTTAGGGTTAGGGTTAGGTCACTATGAACTCATAGAGCAAAATGGACATCGCCAACAAACTCGGAGTGTTTCGGTATGGTTAGGAGGGGAGTTACTTTTCTAGCCTGCCCTGTCTATGTTTCCTGGGAAAATACATGGGAAAATCCTATTGGAGGAAAATTCCACTTAGGGTTAGGGTTAGGTCACTATGCACTCACAGAGAAAAATGGACATCACCAATAAACTCGGAGTGCTTGGGTATGGTTACGAGGGAAGTTGCTCTAGAAGTTCATGGTGATGTAACCCTAACCCTAAGTGGAATTTTCCTCCAATGGGATTTTCCGATGTATTTTCCCAGGAAACATAGATAGGGCAGGCTAGAAAAGTAACTGCCCTCCTAACAATACCCAAGCACTCTACGTTTGTTGGCGATGTCCTTTTTGCTCTATGAGTTCATGGTGACCTAACCCTAACCCTACATGGAATTTTCCTCCAATGGGATTTTCCCATGTATTTTCCCAGGAAACATAGATAGGGCAGGCTAGAAAAGTAACTGCCCTCCTAACAATAACCAAGCACTCTACGTTTGTTGGCGATGTCCTTTTTGCTCTATGAGTTCATGGTGACCTAACCCTAACCCTACATGGAATTTTCCTCCAATGGGATTTTCCCATGTGTTTTCCCAGGAAACATAGATAGGGCAGGCTAGAAATGCTTAGGGTAATATCATAAGAAACTTGGTAATATCATAAGAACTTGGTAATATCATAAGAAACATGGAGAGCAAAATGGACATTGCTAACAAACTCTTGGGTATGGTTAGCATTAGGTCACCATGAACTGATAGAGCAAAATGGACATCGCCAACAAACTCGGAGTTCTTGGGTATGGATAGGAGGGCCGTTACTTTTCCAGCCTGTCCTATCTATGTTTCCTGGGAAAATACATGGGAAAATCCCATTGGAGGAAAATTCCATGTAGGGTTAGGGTTAGGTCACCATGAACTTATAGAGCAAAATGGACATTGCCAACAAACTTGCAGTACTTGGGTATGGTTAGGAGGGCAGTTACTTTTCTAGCCTGCCCTATCTATGTTTCCTGGGAAAACAAATGCGAAAATTCCATTGGAGGAAAGTTCCACTTAGGGTTAGGGTTAGGTCACTATGAACTCATAGAGCAAAATGGACATCGATAACAAACTCGGAGTGCTTGGGTATGGTTAGGAGGGCAGTTACTTTTCTAGCTGCCCTATCTATTTTTCCTGGGAAAAGAAATGGGAAAATCCCATTGGAGGAAAGTTCCACTTAGGGTTAGGGTTAGGTCACTATGAACTCATAGAGCAAAATGACACCACCAACAAACTCGGAGTGCTTGTGTATGGTTAGGAGGGCACTGACATTTCTAGCCTGCCCTATTTATGTTTCCTGGGAAAATACATGGGAAAATCCCATTGGAGGAAAATTCCACTTAGGGTTAGGGTTAGGTCACTATGAACTCATAGAGCAAAATGGACATCGCCAACAAACTCGGAGTGCTTGGGTATGGTTAGGAGGGCACTGACATTTCTAGGAGGGCACTGCCCTATCTATGTTTCCGGGGAAAATGCATGGGAAAATCTCATTGGAGAAAGTTCCACTTAGGGTTCCGGTTAGGTCACTATGAACTCATAGAGCAAAATGGACATCGCCAACAAACTCAGAGTGCTTGGTTATGGTTAGGAGGGCACTGACATTTCTAGCCTGCCCTATCTATGTTTCCTGGGAAAATACATGGGAAAATCCCATTGGAGGAAAATTCCACTTAGGGTTAGAGTTATGTCACTATGAACTCATAGAGCAAAATGGACAACAGCAACAAACTCGGACTGCTTGGTTATGGTTAGGAGGGCACTGACATTTCTAGCCTGCCCTATCTCTGTTTCCTGGGAAAATACATGGAAAAATCCCATTGGAGGAAAATTCCACTTAGGGTTAGGGTTAGGTCACTATGAACTCATAGAGCAAAATGGACAACAGCAACAAACTCGGAGTTCTTGGGTATGGTTAGGAGGGCACTGACATTTCTAGCCTGCCCTATCTATGTTTCCTGGGAAAACAAATGCGAAAATTCCATTGGAGGAAAGTTCCACTTAGGGTTAGGGTTAGGTCACTATGAACTCATAGAGCAAAATGGACATCGATAACAAACTCGGAGTGCTTGGGTATGGTTAGGAGGGCAGTTACTTTTCTAGCTGCCCTATCTATTTTTCCTGGGAAAAGAAATGGGAAAATCCCATTGGAGGAAAGTTCCACTTAGGGTTAGGGTTAGGTCACTATGAACTCATAGAGCAAAATGACACCACCAACAAACTCGGAGTGCTTGTGTATGGTTAGGAGGGCACTGACATTTCTAGCCTGCCCTATTTATGTTTCCTGGGAAAATACATGGGAAAATCCCATTGGAGGAAAATTCCACTTAGGGTTAGGGTTAGGTCACTATGAACTCATAGAGCAAAATGGACATCGCCAACAAACTCGGAGTGCTTGGGTATGGTTAGGAGGGCACTGACATTTCTAGGAGGGCACTGCCCTATCTATGTTTCCGGGGAAAATGCATGGGAAAATCTCATTGGAGAAAGTTCCACTTAGGGTTCCGGTTAGGTCACTATGAACTCATAGAGCAAAATGGACATCGCCAACAAACTCAGAGTGCTTGGTTATGGTTAGGAGGGCACTGACATTTCTAGCCTGCCCTATCTATGTTTCCTGGGAAAATACATGGGAAAATCCCATTGGAGGAAAATTCCACTTAGGGTTAGAGTTATGTCACTATGAACTCATAGAGCAAAATGGACAACAGCAACAAACTCGGACTGCTTGGTTATGGTTAGGAGGGCACTGACATTTCTAGCCTGCCCTATCTCTGTTTCCTGGGAAAATACATGGAAAAATCCCATTGGAGGAAAATTCCACTTAGGGTTAGGGTTAGGTCACTATGAACTCATAGAGCAAAATGGACAACAGCAACAAACTCGGAGTTCTTGGGTATGGTTAGGAGGGCACTGACATTTCTAGCCTGCCCTATCTATGTTTCCTGGGAAAATACATGGAAAAATCCCATTGGAGGAAAATTCCATGTAGGGTTAGGGTTAGGTCACTATGCACTCACAGAGCAAAATGGACATCGCCAACAAACTCGGAGTGTTTAGGTATGGTTACGAGGGCAGTTGCTCCATGAGTTCATGGTGACCTAACCCTAACCCTACATGGAATTTTCCTCCAATGGGATTTTCCCATGTATTTTCTCAGGAAACATAGATAGGGCAGGCTAGAAATTTCAGTGCCTTCCTAACCATAACCAAGCAGTCCGAGTTTGTTGGTGTTGTCCGTTTTGCTCTATGAGTTCATAGTGACATAACCCTAACCCTAAGTGGAATTTTCCTCCAATCGGATTTTCCCATGTATTTTCCCAGGAAACATAGATAGGGCAGGCTAGAAAAGTAACTGCCCTCCTAACTATACCCAAGCACTCCGAGTTCGTTGGCAATGTCCGTTTTGCTCTATGAGTTCATAGTGACCTAACCCTAACCCTAAGTGGAATTTTCCTCCAATGGGATTTTCCCATGTACTTTCCCAGGAAACATAGATAGGGCAGGCTAGAAATGTCAGTGCCCTCCTAACCATACCCAACACTCCGAGTTTGTTGACGATGTCCATTTTGCTCTATGAGTTCATAGTGACCTAACCCTAACCCTAAGTGGAATTTTCCTCCAATGGGATTTTCCCATGTATTTTCCCAGGAAACATAGATAGGGCAGGCTAGAAATCTCAGTGCCCTCCTAACCATACCCAAACACTCCGAGTTTGTTGGCGATGTCTATTTTGCTCTATGAGTTCATAGTGACGTAACCCTAACCCTAAGTGGAACTTTCCTCCAATGGGATTTTCCCATGTATTTCCCCAGGAAACATAGATAGGGCAGGCTCAAACAGTAAGTGCCCTCCTAAGCATACCCATGCACTGTTAGTACACACTCCACAGTGATTTATTTATCTCTAATTTGATGGTGGATGCCTTCTAAGTCAAATAGGTCTTTGGTTTCTACCTTTTCCGTTCTGTAGTTCATATTATTCTTTGGAAACCATCCCTTATATCAGTGGTTCTCAACCTTTCTAATGCCGCGACCCCATAATATAGTTCCCCATGTTGTGGTGACCCCCAACCACTTATACATCACCGGGTGCCAGAGGCGTGGCCAAAGAAAAGGGGGAAAAAATGGCGGACAGCCTTGTTTGGCGACCCCCGTGAAATGGTCGTTCGACCCCAAATGGGGTCCCGACCCACAGGTTGAGAACCACTGCTTTATATGAAGTGTGAACATTTCATCTATTAAAACTAAACTTACGTAATTCATATTTGCAGTCAATTTTAATCACCAAATAGATTGGCTCTGAGATGTCATGTATTGTCTGTCTTTTGTCCACTTGCTTTTAATAATGTTTTTATGGAGTTACTTTTTTTAAAAAAAAATGGTACTTAGGCTACAGAGAAGCTGGTGGCTTTTCTCTTTGGGATTGCCTCGCACATGGTGGCAGATGTAAGCTGGCACAGCTTGGGGATTGAACAAGGATTTCTTCGGGCCATGGCAGCTGTAAGTAGTGTCCTGTTTCCGTCGTAGGGTTTTTCCATGTGCTTGTTTTAAAGTTGCATTTATTATTTTGCTTCATCCTCACAAATGTCAATAGAATATTAAAAAAATAAATCAGATCCTTGCAGTCTGCAGTGCTTTTATGAACCACAGCTAAAAACTATATATTTTAATGAATAATATTTCAGTCATCTTTGAATATCCATATGTTGCTCTTTTAAAGGATTTATATAGTTTATAGCAAAAAAATGTTTGCCTATTGGATTTCTTTTTTTAGTCTTTTATGGATGAAGGCTGCTCACTGCAGAGCTGTTTATATGCTGAGGCTGAATTAAAGCACTTGGGCAGTTCTGAAGATAGAGATAGACAAGTAACAAGAAACATAAGGGATTTTTGCAATCAATTGACAACAAACTATTGGTAGGAAATTCCTATATACACAAGCAGGGAAAAGGCCACAAGGGAGTGTTTTATCTCTACAATCCGGATTAGTTTAGAAAAAAAAGAAATTTTTAAAAGCAGTTAACATTTCTTTAGTTGTTAAAGTGATAAAGAATTATAAATAATATTGTTCTTTTTTATTTAGATTGATTTTCATGGCTCATATTCACAAGCTCATTCTACTGGCGATTTTGGTAATTTATGTACTTATAAATCCTAGAAAACTCTCCCCAAATTTCCTTTGAATGTCTCAAGGTTATGAGACTCTGGAGATGGCATTCTCTAATTTTATTTGAAAAGTATATGTGTATGTGAATGTCATTATTACAGTACATATATATCATAGGCATTCTCCATTTTGGTTTCCCGTCTCTAGAACTACTTGATGTTTAATATATATCAGCTGCTGTTTTCCATTTCTGATATATTCACATTAGATATATTTTAATGGAACTATAAATTATGGATTTCTATTACATTGTATTATATTATAGGTGGAACTTTATATTATCCACAAGTCTGCTTATAACCAGTGTGATTTTCTAAAATTGTAGATTCCCATGATGTATCACAAGGTTTTTCTGAAGTTTCTTTGAGTTTCATGAGCTTTGTTGCCCAAGGGCTGACATTTCAAAGACTATCACTGGCATTCCATTTGCTTTGATAGTGTCCCATTATGGCTATAAAACATGTGTTGCAATGTGTAAGAGAGAGGGAAAGCCCCCCCAACCCATATAGAAGGGCTACCAATCTTATAGGAAAAGCCCATGTGACCTATCCAATATTACTGCAGTGCTCATAATATGTCATATGAATGGTTGTCCTGTGTCAATTGTGTTAGGTTAAATCACAGGATATAAGGGATTATATTCATCATAACATTTCAACATGAAGCTGCATCTTTTTTTGTTGTTAAATAAATTGATGACATACACTCCTTTCATTCTCATTTTAGGGGGAGATGTGTTAAGCCAATATGAACTTGATTTTGATTACTTGAAAGCAAACTGGTAAGAGCCACAAATGCGATCATTAATGTTTGATGCATATGGACGTTGATACACACACTCACATAGTGTTGCAAATTGCAGAAGGAGGATGAGAAACAGTTACTGAAATCTATTATTTTTTCTTCTCAGCTAGTCAGGTCCTCAAGAACCATTGTGAATTAGACTCTAATGTTGTACTGGATGAAGGAGATTGAGGGTAACTTGTTTAGTTCTGTAGAGGCCTACAACCATATATAATAGTAGATGGATCATACTAGCCTCTAAGTAAGAGGGTCCACTTAATATAACCCTCATTTCTGGTAATGGTGTCCATACTTCAATTACATTCTGCCCTGATTACTTCAATGCACTCTGTATAGGATTACCTTTACAATTGGTACAGATTGTGGTAACAAGGCTATTAACCATTGTCGGGTACACAAAGAACATATAAAACTTGCATTTCTGAGAATTCTTACACCATTTGCCAATCGTTTATTTCAATTCAGTTTTACTTTTACTAATCTTTGAAGCCATAATCGTAGTTTGTTGAATGTTTCTATTTAAAAAAAAATGGAGAGCAGGAGAAGAATTTGAACAGTTTAAATCAGACCATACTGTATTTACATCCAAGAAAATAAAGCCAATAAATTGGGCATAGTGATGTGCAGTTTAAGTGTCTAGTTTAACTCTGAGTGTTGCATTATAGAGCAGAGTATTGCTTGTATCAATTCTTTTTCATTTATATTTGTTTGTTAGATTTCTATTCAACTTTTCCTCCTTGAGCTTAAATTCCTAGTCCTGGGGGAGTCAACAATTTAGTCTGAGATTTTTGGAATACAAAACCTGTGCTCTACAGCAGTGTTTCTCAACCTTGGCCATTTGAAGAGGTGTGGACTTCAACTCCCACAATTCTCCAACCAGTTTGCTGGCTGGAGAATACGAGTAGTTGAAGTCCACACCTCTTCACATGGCCACAGTTAAGAAACACCGTTCTACAGTATATCTAAGCTGCATCATTTTACCAGTTACCTATTACTGACATATTGCTTGATTAGTGTTTGATTTATATAATATTACCAATATTTATCAAGGAATCTAGAAAAGGAGGGAAAGAATGTGTTTAGATAATTTATAATGCCATTTTTACCAGTGCATTTTTGTTGGCTTCAATCAAAGTTCTGATATTAATACTTTTAGGTATGTACCTGTTAAAGATTTACTGTCAATCTATGAGGATTATTATGGAAAGGAGGTGATAACTCAAAATACAATTGTTGACTGCACATATATGCAACTCCTTGATCTGTAAGTCAGAGTAAAAGTTAACACATTTTAAAACAAATGAGAGTTTGTTAATTACTGATGGGTTTTCAAGCAGGGGTTGAAGAAACACTGGTATATGTAAATGTTGGAGAAGATCAGGTATAAAAAATGGGAAATCTTACAATGGGGATATTTTTATATTTTGAAAGCGGGTCTTCAATAAGGTAGATGGACTAGTAGGATGATAAATAGTTTGGTAATTTTATCTGATAAAATACATCTAAGAGCTTAAATAAACTATGAAAGATGTACAGGAGTTTTTGATTTATGACCACAATTGGGACTGGAATTTTGGTTGCTAAACTATGTGGTCATTAAGTGAGTCATCACATGACCAGTCTCTATTTTATGACCATTTTTACTGCAGTTGTTAAGCGAATCATGCAGTTATTAAGTCAATCATGCAGTCAATCAAATCCAACCATAAACTTTGCTTGTTGGAAGCCAGCTGGTTGCAAATCATGATCACATGAACCTGGGACACTGCAACCACTGTAAATGCGAGCTGGTTGGCAAGCACCCAAATTGTGATCCTGTGACCTTGAGAGTGGACCAAAGTCATAACTTTGAGGACTGTCATTGGTTATTTTTTTTCAGCATCATTATATTTTCAAACTGTCATTAAATGAATGGCCATAAGTTGGGGATTATTGGTAGTGAAATAAAATATATACGTATAAAGAAAAGTGGCTAGAATAAAGGGGGAGAGTCTTCCCCAGAGAAATTCACTGATCTGTCTCAATAGACATGGAAACCCTAATCTTTTCAGCTTATAGTTTGATTTTTTTTGTTTCATTTTAAGAACATACATTGTCTTAGGATAATGGCTATTGTATCTTTTCATTTTCTCTTTCCTGGCCTACTTATTAAGGTGTTTTATTGCTTTTATTGTTTCAGTATTTTTGCTGGTTGTTTAATCTTTAAAATAATGTCATAACCAGGCAACTGTAATTATTGGTCGTAGTCGAAAGCAGACAATATACAGACAATATATATTGTTTATGATAGCTACTGTACAGAAAATGCCTTTAAAGTTGCCAACTGTATATTGATCTTATTAAATAGGGTGGACTTTGTTTATATAAATATCTTCATTTTAAGAGGGAGTCCACAGTATGAGTTTGAAGTCAAGTGTCAGAGAGATGAGGAAATATTTCAACATTTCTAGGTCTGTCAGCAATCATTGCTTCCCTAGTAAACATGTATAATGCACTAGCTTCAATAAACTATAATGAATATTTATGATAGCTTTTTTGGTATATAGGTATAATACTAAATTGTGGGTAATCAGAACAAAGGAAGGAAAAGAGGGAGAAGAAAGCAGGCAGGAAAAAATAAGAGTATGACACTCGTAATTTATCTCATAATGACCTGTACTTCATTAATAGGAATTGGCTCATTATGTTCCTAATAAAAAACATTACTAGCAGTCATTTAAATAATATATAAATGTTATGAGTTTCAAAATACCCATTGTGTCTTTTTGGTATAGTTAAAGGCAATATACAAAGAAACATTTTTTTCTGCATTGAAAAGTTATATAATGATAGTAAATTATAAATAATTGCTTCCATAGCTATGGCGAGATCATTGCTATTGCCAATGTAAGTATATTTTTCTAAAAAAGAAATTTTTGGGATGTGAATGTTGAAATAGCCAATTTACTAATTAAATTGCATCTTATTCTTCACAGCTTTATCCCATATATGCCAATAAATCCCCATTTTTAGTGGACAAGTTCTATGACTATTTCCTTGGCGGAGTAGACGATATGGCATTTTCATCGAATAATATTTTACAGTTAACCAGTTGGATGTTAAACTATGGGACTAGGTGAGGTATTTGTTAATAATTCCAAATGATCATCCTAGAAAAAAACATACTGTTTCAAAAAAAGAAATTCTACCTGGAATTTTTCTTCAAAAGCTTGATTCAACCAAACAGTGATTCAGAATGTGGACAGTACAGAATGTGTATTTCATTGCTACTTGTTATGATTTATCTTTAATTTTAACTTGTAGAGTATTATTAATAAGCTAAAAATACAGATCTTACTTTAGCTTTCCCTTGCTTTACAGATCTGTGAAGGTCATAAATGCATGGATTGGTTGTAAAGTTACTTCATCATCACTGTTGTAACTGAATGGTCACTAAATAAAACAGTCACTAAATGAGGACTATCTGTAGGGGAAGTTGTGGGCATGCTAAAAAATGAAACATATTAAATACAATTAATCTATTAATGTTTTCTTCAGTGGCTGCTTTATTCCTGAGAATCCTTTGTTCATACGGTGTGAAGATGAACAGAGAAACTTTTCTGTGTGAGTATAGTAATTAGTCTAGTTTAACTAGTGGTATGAATTAACTCCAAGATTGATATTATTTTTTAATGTGGGAAATTAAGACCATATAGTTTTATTTTCTGGCCATGACTTGGCAACAAAGAAAAATACCCATAGCTATGCAAAACCCAATAATACTTCTTTGTTCATTTTTGGAACTACTGTCAAAACTTCACTATTGCAATGCAGTTGTTCTTTACGGATATGTGATACATTTATGCCAATCCTGGTTTCATGGTTTCATTTCAAATTATTGTATTTTTCTGCCTTTAAACAAGATGTATTTAAGGCAATCATGGAAATGCACAGCAGGAAATAGATGTTGCTGAGATATTATTTTATTTATGCAATTTATCCTCATCAGCTTCAATTTCTTTTTCTTTTATTTTTCTTTTGTTAAAAAAAATATGGCTGCCCATTCACTCCAAGTGGTTTAAATAAAGGGCTGGTATAAACTTTATAATCAAGAACTGTCATTTTAAAAAACATTAAAATACTAAAGTCTCCAGTGTGAAGAACTGCAGAGACAACAAGGGAATGAGTATTTAAATTAAATACAAACTTGATTCAGCATTATTTAAGAGCGATCACAGTCTCAATTCAGAAAAACAGGAAAACCTTCTATTATTTTGTAACTAAAATATTTGAATTGTTTATTCATTCATATATTTTTGCTGACTGCAATGTGAATTTAGGCAGCCCCATACTTATCTCGTTTTTATCTTCCTATACAGAACCTTTCTACTTATTGTATCTTATTTCAATAGGTTTAAAGAATCCAGAACTCAGTACCACAGGAAGATAAGTTCTGAAGTGGCCAAATCAGTTGAAAAGAATATCAGTTATACAGAAAGAGGAGTTTATTTAAAAATTCCCCATTGGACAATGGTAATTTCTTTTCGGTCTAAACATAAATCGCAGGAACCAAATATATGATTGCAATTTAGACATTAATTGCTGGAGATCTGCAGGATTGGACATCTTTTGTTTGTTTAATTCTTTAAATATGATTCTTTAAATAATATCCTAGCTCAGTGATATGTACAAGGGAAGTCAAAAAAGGCACAGTGGTGGTTGCAGCAGAATGATCAAACCCTTCCACATTTGCATATATGTGTGCCATTGGCATACATGCAGAATGGCCTGGACTTTAAACTTTGATGTAAGTTTTATTCCTTTGTAAATGTAGAATTTGTTCTGACTCTAAAATTGCAGCTTTGAGTGTAGTTGGGCAAGATTTGCTGGATGGATTCAGAAGAGGGAGAGAAATGAAAGCTGATGATGGGGAAAAGAGAAAGGGGCCATGCAGAAAGTGAAGCAGTTTGTCCTTGCTGAGAAAATTAGCAGCTTTCTGTAATCCTCACCAGTTTTTGAGTTGTTCCCCAGGCTTTTCTCAGCAACTCTATTGGCTACAAAATGAAACTGAGAATCTGAGGAGGTCTAAGAATCAGTAGATTAGAGCCACGTTTTCTTCCATTAATAGGGGTATACTCTAGCAGTGTTTTACTCAAGGATGGACTACTTGGTGTTTCTTGAGGACAGGAATGGACATGTTCCTCAGCCTGTCCGGACCCACCGTGAAGGCAGACTCTGCCTGTAATTTGTTGCTCCAGTACAAATGTGATAGTTTCCCATTGCTGCTCAGACAAGCTAAGTGAAAAGTCAGTGAATAGTTTAGCCATGTGTGGGTGTAGGGATGTAAGGAAGCAAGTCTTTCTGGTGCTGGGAAAATTGGCACCAAAAAGATCTACTTCGCTTCTTCTCTTTTTTTTCATTTTTCTTATCCTCATTGTATATCAGACTAAGTATTGTAGCAATATCTACAGCACGAATGAGCACTGTGCTGGTATTTAATTGACAAAATGGACAGGATATATATTTTTTAAATTTCTTCCTGGAAAACTTCTCTAGTTAGCAAACAATTCAAGAAACCAGCGCCATGTGTTGCATTGATATCTTTTATATAATGAAACAAACACTAATACATCATTAGCTGTGCCAGTGTCATACGAGGCTTCTTCGCTGCAATAATGTCTCTGCAAAATGAGAAATGGACGTTTACATCTAATATAAATTGCTACTCCAGCATCCAGTAAATGGTTACGCTGCTTATTGGTCACATCTTATTTCCCAGAATTATCTTCAGTTCCAAAATAGTGACACAACAAAGAGTTCAGTGAAAGAGCTGGCAGTCCCACAGCAACAGTCACCTAAATACATCACCAAGCCCAGTGCTTCATATTTTCTGAAAACTCCATATGCAAAACTTGGATCGTGAGTACTGATTTATACATTTGTTTCTGCTATCTTTATAATAGATAATTGCTTCACTGGTTTAGAAATAACCTTGTCAGTGAATCAATATCTATGGAGATTTTCAATCTTTTTTTTTTCTTTCTCAAAGGACCACTGGACTTTGTTGCCTTTTTCCTTTTCCCTTTCGCTTCTCATCCAAGAAGCTTCTTCAGTTCTAGTTAACTGGGTGGGGAATGGAAGGATTTATATTATTTGCAGCCAGCTGGCTATTACCATACTGAGAGTCATTGAGGCCATTTGGGGGTTTATCTGTATCCCTCAGATACCCAATGGGTATGGAACCTTCTTGGGACTGCTGAAAGGACTGTGATGAAAATAGGAGATAATGGCTGTCCAGTCTCTTAAGAAGAGACTGGACAGCCATTTGTCCGAAATGGTGTAGGGTTTCCTGCCCGAGCAGGGGGTTGGACTAGATGACCTCCAAGGTCCCTTCCAACTTTACTACTATTATTATTATTATTATTATTAAGTAGTATCATACCCTTCCTCCTGTGTTGAGGGAGGGCTGTTCAGTTTTAATATAGATAGCGTCTTTGACTCCTCTTTCAAACCAGTGGTCTTCTGTATCCAGAATGTGAATTTTGCTGTCTTCAGAAGAATGAAGATGCAGATGAATCTTGTCCTAATGAGTTTGTTCTCCTGTGTTGTGCCATGCATTTTTAAAATAGTTGTTTAGTTTCCCCAGTGGTAAAAGCCTACACATTTCTCACTGCATTGCGCTGGACATACCACATTACTCTATTTGTCTCTGGGTGTTTTGTCCTCAGGGTGGGCAAACTTATGTCTTAATGTACTCCTGGGTTTAAAATGTGCATTTATGTTGTGTTTGTTGAAAATCCTCCTGAGCTTTTCCGATATTCCTGCAGTGTATAGAATGACAACGTTGCTCCATTTGTTGTTCTCTTCTTTTCTATTTGTTGTGAAGGTGCTCCTACTGGATCTTTTTGTGGATTTGATGAAGGCTCAGTTAGGGTAGTTACAAGTTCTGAGGGCTTCCTTGATAAGTTTTTGTTCCATCCCCCCCCCCCTTAAAGTAACATTAAAAAAAAAAGCAAATTGAAAATGAGATAGATCTGGCAATGTAATAGGCTGTTAGGCAACTACCAAGAATGGTGTCTGTAGGTCTGTTGGCATTTCTGGGTGCTAAGTTGGGTCCCTTGATTTTTCTTCAGGATTTCTATGGAATTACATCTAACTCTAGAAACTATCCAATTTTTTTTTTTTAAATCTGCACAGGAAATGTCATACAAATGGACATTGGCACCATCTTCTCTCATATGCAGGGCTATGGCTTCAGCTGACCTAAATCAGGATGGATACGATGACCTGGTGGTTGGGGCACCAGGTTACAGCCTGGTTGGACACATTCAGTTGGGACGTGTCTATATTGTTTATGGCAATGAATCAGGTTTGCCTCATTCCAATCTGGACCTTGATCAAGAAGCAGATGAAATACTAGAAGGCACTAAGGTAACAAAACAAGTCAAACATGGATAATTAAATATGTTTTGTCTTTATTTTTGGATCGCTAGTTCCATTATTATTTTCCCTATTGTAATTGCATTAATGAGGCTTCTTCTGTAACTAACTGAACCTAGACTACTGTAAGCCTTTCCTTCTAGATGTGTAGAAACTATAACAACCAGAATTTCCAGCCACTGTGACCTCTGTATGCTCCAAGTCATTTATAGGGCATAAGGTTGAGGAAGGCTGTACATTAATTGCTACCAAAATCAAATAATTGGGAGACCTAAGTTAGGTTCACAACTGATACTACATTTGGTCATTGTTTTTGTCCTTTACATGGCTTATTCAGGCAGCATTTATAATTTATAAACTATTTCATAGAAATAAAATGAACAGAATAACTTGATGTATAGAAGTGCTAGGAACATACTCATAAGGATTGACAGTTCAAATAAATTGTATATAGATGGCAAACAAATAAGATGTTGTTCTCTTGGTAACTGTGAACAGAGTTCACTGGTGATTTAAATTAAATTTGTAGTTAGGAATACAAGAACTTATATTTAAAGAAACAAAATTTAACAGAGTTTAGTGCAGCATCAACCAAATCCATTTTAGCTCTTAAATGCTTCCTACTTAATGAGTTAAAGAATAATTTGCCATAACGTGTTACTATTGAAAAAATAACAATGTCCAATATATATATTATCTAAATGTGTCTTCTTTTTAAAATAGCTTTGGCTTCATGAAATGTATTTGAGTGTGTGTGTGTGTGTGTGTGCACATAAATGCCTGTGTGTCTATGCAATGAATATGTCTATCTTCTATCTAGCCTTCAGGAAGATTTGGTTCTGCCATAGCAATTTTGGACTTCAATGTGGATGGAATATTGGATCTTGCAATAGGAGCCCCATCAGTAGGATCCCGGGAGCTTAGTTACACGGTAGGCAACTGTAAAATGCTAATATAAAAATATAGTTAGTCTGGTGCAGTTGGCCTAGAAAGCAGGAGACTGTGAGTTCCAGGCTTCCCTTAGGCATGAAAACCAGTTGGGTGATCTTGAATCAGTCGCTTTCTTTCAATCCAACCCACCCCTCAAAGTTTTATTGTGAGGAAAATGGGAGGAGGGAGCATTTTGTAGGCTGCTTTTTTAAAAAAAAAAATTATTTCAATTTTCAATACAATTCAATACATTATATATAAAAAAATAAAAAAGAAAAATCCCTTTAAAATAAGACCTTAGGTGTCACTCGTCTATCTCCCCCCGACTGCTTCCACCCTCTCAACCTTCCTTCCTACTTCCCTACTCCCTCTCTCATCTCCTCTCTCCCCTCATCCCTTCCTCCCATCCAACTTCCTTCCATCTCTTCCTCCTCCCCTCTCATCCCTCTTCGGATACAGTTCAGGGGAAATACCCGAGTGGCACCTCGCATTTTGTAGGCTGCTTTTGTATAAATAAAGGTGGGTTATAAAAATAATAATAGTAACCTTGCTAATTAGATTGCATTTAATGTAGGCTTATATTTTGATTGTCTGAAATAAAAAATAATAATGGGAACAATTTATTGGCCATCTTAGAATTCATCTACATACAGTATAGTCCTCACTTAGCAGCTGCCTTGTTTAGTGACCATTTACAATTACAATGGTGAAGAAAAAGAAACTTTGTGACCAGTCTTTGCATTTGAATAGCATAGCTGCCCAGAATCTCTTTGTGGTGAGATGGGCAGCAAATAAATGTAATGAGTAAATAATAAATAAATGTGTGACTTTTGTGGAACTGTAAGCAAAGGAAAGCTGAAATAAGATTATAAGTAGTTGCGGTTTCTCTTAGTGACCGCTTCAATTAACAATCAAATTGCTGGTCCCAATTGTGGTTACTGAATGAGGGTTACCTGTATTTTATATTGACCCATATCTTACAGAGGAATTGATTAGTTTAATCTGGATTACAAAGGTTTGAGTGGTTTTTGTAGTCCAATCCTTTTATGCGGTTTGCTGCATTTTGACATTGTATCATATTTTAACTCACCTAATTATGAGAAATGCAGTTTAATGTGAAGATGAAAAGAATAAAAAATAAAAGAATCTATTACAATGTTATATTTTCTTATTTAGGGTTCTGTATACGTATTTCTTGGCAACAGAGGAGGAGGTTTCCACAACCTTCCAAATATTACAATAATTTGTCAAGTAAGTTTGCTGATGAAAAGGCAAAGCATGGAATTCAAATTTAATCCACTTTTTTTTTGCTCAGTCACAAGCATCTTGAAAATTAATTTCCCGGATATTCAGTACAATTTTTACTCGGGATGAAAGCACCATTCTTATGTGTCCTCCTTCAAACACAATCAAAGTACGTGTGTAGGGCACATTCTTCTTTAATGGATACATTTTAAACATATATTCAACCATTCAGGAATGGATAGTGCTAATACAGGGCGGATTCTTTTGATAATTAAAGGTAAACTATCGCTCTACGCAGTGTTTCTCAACCTTGACAATTTTAAGGCATGTGGACTTCAACTCCCAGAATTCCACAGCCAGCAATGCTGGCTGTGGAATTCTGGGAGTTGAAGTCCACATGCCTTAAAATTGTCACAGTTGAGAAACACTGCGTCGAATGTGTCTAGTAGTTATGCTTCAATATTCAGTAATATTACCTATTCTATAAATAAATTTTACCGAAGATGCTGTATTTCAGCAAGTGAGTTGTATATTCTTTTATGTGGGAACCAAATTATTGACAATAGAAGTTGTGGGTGCTTCATCGCCAGAGGTTTTTAAGAAGAGATTGGGCAACCAGTTGTCTGAAAAGATATAGGGTCTCCTGCTTAAGGAGGGGGTTGGACTACAAGAAGATCTCCAAGGGACCCTTCCAACTCTGTTATTCTGGTACTTTTGCAGGAAATATATTGTAATCTAGGCTGGTCCCTGCTGACAGCTGATGTTGACAGGAATGGAAATAATGACCTGCTGCTTGGTTCCCCATATGCACCTGCTGGTGGAATACAAAGAGGATTTGTGACTTCTTTTTATTCTTCCTCTTACAGAAATGGGCAAAGTAAGCTTGTTTGGAAAATGTGTTTGTTTCCTAAAGTATCCCATACTGGCACTTTCAAATTCTTGCTGAAACATTGTCAGAATAATATATCTGGGTCCTTCTTCAGGTTTTTAAGTAGCACTCACAGAAATGATTCCTAGGCAACATATTTAATGTTAGTTCACATATTAAACGTATAACTTGGTTAATTAATTTTGTATTAATTTACCCTCATCCCAGGTTGAATTAATGCAAGAGATTCATATACCATCCCATAGCTTTTCACACAGAGTGTACTGGGTTCCTTCCTGAAGCAGTTGTCTTCATGGCTTAACATAGTATTTCTCAGCTTTGGCAACGTTAAAATGTGTGGGCTTCAACTCCCAGAAATTCTGGAAGTCCACACATTTTAAAACTGAAAGGTTGAGAAACTCTGGCTCAGAAAAAGATATCGAGATTCTTTAAAATCTTAAGTTCCTCCCCAAATCGAGCATTATTTACATCCAAATCTTAGCCACTGTACCCAGCCCATTTTAGGAGCACTTCAAAATAGATGCATGCACATGCACGCACACACACACAAAGACAGAGGAGGAGAGAGAGAGAGGGAGGGAGGGAGGGAGGGAGGGAGGGAGAGAGAGAGAGAGAGAGAGAGAGAGAGAGAGAGAGAGAGAGAGAGAGAGAGAAACGGGACATTTGTTTATATAAGCAACACAGAGATGTGCTGGATTGAACCCTGATATTTACAAGGGGGTTTGTAGATCGTACATCCACAATCATCTCCTCCTATCTCAAATTTCAGGATACAAGTAGTCTGTAGAGGTGAGAGACAGGCAAAGGTCGTGTGCAGAACACTGCCCCTCCAAAGCTTGTGTTTCTCTTCTCTCTGCATCTATCTCCCCCCTCCCTCCGCTTCACATCACCTTGGCGATGTGAAAGTGCGCAGGTCTATGTGACCTTGCTTGCCTGTCTGATAACAGCTAGCTCGTGTCAACAAGATGTTATTAACTATTCCCTGTTTCTGGCCTCTGGCTTCTATATTCTTGAGGATTGGTTGGGAGTTTAACCAATGAAATGCTATTGCCATGTAGAAACTTTTGCTTCCTGTGATCTCTATATAAACAATAAAAAGCTGCGTACCAGCGGCCATTTTTTGCACCCTGCAATGACTGAGCACTGATTACTACAGTAGTCCTCAACCTACAGCTGTTTAGTGACCGTTCGAAGTTACAATGACACTGAAAAAAGTGACTTATCACTGTTTTTCATAGGACCATGGTAGCATCCTCATGGTTACATGATCAAAGTTCCGGGTTCATGCAATTAACTTTTGTGACCTTCTGACAAGCAAAATCAATGGGGAAGCCAGATTCACTTAATCACCATGTCACTAACTTAACAACTGCAGTGATCCACTTAACAACTGTGACAAGAAAGGTGGTAAAATGGGGCAAAACTCACTGAACAAATGTCTCGTTAGCAACAGAAATTTTGAGGTCGATTGTGATCGTAAGTCGAGGACTACCTGTATTCATTCTGATGGGAAATTCTCCTATCTGTATATTTATCTACATGTATTTAAAGTAATGGTTCATGCTACACAGAAAGATTGAACAAAGCAATGCTTCTTGTATGTAATCTGTTTCAAAAACAGAACTTTCGGATCAGCACTAGTTTTCTCCTTATTTCTCAGGCCTGCTTTTTGTATCAGATGCTGACTGGATGGTAAAAGGAGAAACAGATTATGCTTGGTTTGGCTCATCACTCAGCAGTATCCAGCTCCCAAATAAAATCTTGCTGCTTATTGGAAGTCCTTTTGGGAGAAATTGTACAAGGTGTATGCATTTATTTTTAAGTACCTATGTATGTGATTGTCTTCTAGGCTATCTTCACAACCTATCTGCTGTACTTTCTCACTACAAATATATGCAGCAGATCCACTTTTTCTCCAAATGTTGATCTGTTACATACAAACACACTAAGCTCTAATAATAGACATTTTTCAAGTATGACCTTGTTTTTTGCAGCTGAATCAGAGATATAATTCAAGGCCCCAGGGTTATATGCCTTAGCTACAATTCCTAGAAATTTCAAAAGATGACCTCAAATTATAACTTAATGTGTTAGAAGGGGAACATTATTAAATGCATGACTGGAAAATAATCATATTTCAATTAAATATAAACATATATAAAATAAAACCAGTATCAATTTTACTCTGGCTCTGCCCATGACTTTTAGGATTATTTCCCTGGTATTTCCCCATTCAAAGGCTATGTAGAGCCCTTGGAAGAGAAAAATGGTCCACCTTTGATTTAAAGCAAGACTAGTCACACAAAGCCTGAAGCTGTGTCTATCCTAACTAGGTTTTACAACTGATTGTATTATAGAGCGCATATAGTTCTGCATTAACAGGTATATATTAAGAGCTGTGATGGTGCAGTGATTAGTATGCAGTATTGAGGCTGATTCTACTCACTGCTGGCAGTTCGATCCTGACTGGCTCAAGGTTGACTCAGCTTTCCATCCTTCTGAAGTCAGTAAAATATGGATACAGATTATTGGGGACAATATGCTGACCCTGTAAACTGCTTAAAGAGTGCTGTAAAGCACTATGAAGTGGTATATAAGTGCTATTGCTATTGCTATATAATCAGCTGCCCGCAGTTCTAAATACTGGATATATAATCCATTCATCTGGTTCAAAATATTTTTTTCTGTTAAAGTTGTTCAGTAACTATTTTTCTCCTAAAATAAAATGTTTATCATTTTAAAAGTATTTGCAACTCATTCGGGATGAAGGCCACGAGTCATTTCCTTGTTACAAGTAGAGCCCAAGCCTAAGTATTTTATTTATTTGAGAGTGAGTTTGCTTTGTTTGTCTGTCGAATTTATAACCTGTCTTTGTGAGGAGTACAAGTTAAAAACCATACAATAAAACAGATAAAAGAAGGCAGTCACTTGGGGGCAAAGGTAACCAACACATTAATACAACCCTCTCATAAGCTGCATACTCTCTTAACAGAAAACAGTGTTTATCAAACTTGGCAGCTTTCAGATGTGTGTATTTCAATATACTGAGGAGCTGGCTGGGCAATTCTGGAGTTGAGGGCCACACATCTGAAAGATGCTAAGGTTGAGAAAGACTCAAAGATTGAAAACTTGAAACAAATCAGATCTTTAAAGCTTGTTTAAAGGACAGAAGGATTGGGGCTCTTCAAATCTCTAGGCAAGAGAAAACATTACTACAGAGGCAGGCACTGTAACAGATAAGGAATGTCTATTAGGTCTCTGTTTTAGGTTGATGACACTGTTTTAAAGATTGAAACTGCAGCATAACCACTCTGTCAACGGGATAGATGGCTAGACTTCACGCCATGAAAGATTTTATAAGTCACAACCAACACTTTCAATTGCACCTGATAAACACTATAGAGGTAATTCAGACAATGGAGGTGTTATGTGGGAAAAGTGAGATACATTCATAACTGTGTCTTCATTGCTGCATTCTAGATCAGCTACAGCTTCCAAGTGATTTTCAAAGGTAGAGCCATGTAGACCATGTTCCAGCACTCCATCTGTGAGATACTAAGACATGAGTAACTATAATGAGTTCCCAGTCCAGAAAAGAGTGCAATTGGTATTCTGGACAAAACCTCTCCAGAGAGTTATAAATTCATTTATAAATCTATCTGCCTTTGGAAGAAGTAGATATTTAAATGTGGCACCTCAAGCAAAGAAAATGAGCAATGATCTGGAGGATAATGGGAAATGTAGTCTATATATTTGGGGATCACTAGTCATATTAACCTGACAAGTTGAGATGAATAGCAGAATAGTCCAAAAATTGAGATTCTGAAATGAAACTGATATTGATGATGATTCTATAACATGTCTTGCAATTACTATTTTTTTTTAGTATTAGTGTTTATCCTAATTGTTCTGTTTTTTTTTATTATAACCATTTTGTATTCTAGCCTAGGGTGCCATTTATCCGAAAATAACAGGCAAGCTGTTGGAATGGTATATGGCTATATCCCACCAAACACCCAAAGCTGGTTCACGTTAAGTGGGGATGATGTAAGTCTTTGTGCTGTCCTTTGAAATAATATAAAAAACAAGAATGAGAAAATTTTTGATTTCATGAGACTAACTATATATATATGTATATGTGCTCATATTATAACCATGCAGGAAAATGGGAAATTTGGTTCAGCTTTGGCAACCGGTTTCCTTTCCATAGAAGAACTCTCTAAGCAAGTACTGATAGTTGGTGCACCGACACAAGGTATGCAACTCTGAACTTGGAACAAGATTTGGCAGCATTTTTATTTCAGTAATGCATTATGACAGAGGATAAAGAAATTCCAATAGGCAAAGAATCATAATACGGAATCTAAATTTACTTATACAGAAAGTTTATTAAAATCCATCCAACTTAATATACATGCATTGTTTATATACAATGATGCAGACCTGTTGTGATGTGTGTTGCTTTTATGTTGAGAAATTGATATTTCTGTAATATTTTGTCATTGTTGGTTCCCAGACCAATTCATTTGAGTCCTTAGCCCTATACAACTTTACATAATATTGCACAAATAATTGTACTGGATTTGTTAGGGGATCTATTTTGGATTGTTTAGGTCTTTTATATCAGGAAGTAGATCTTGATGTTCAGACATGTGATTTCAGGTACCTCCAGAAAAATAAAAATAAAATTTGGGGGATATGGGTTGTCTACTTCTGATAGAACATGAAGATGCCTTCTAGCTGAATCAACTCCTCATGACTGCATCCATGCAAATCTGTTGGAAGTATTATTAAATAGTTCTTCTGGAATGTTTTTCAGTTCCTCAGTCTGGCAATTTCAAGTTTCGCTGTAAATGAAAATGTTGATCACAATGGCATTACTATTGGAAAATGAAAATATCTCAGTTTTAATCTGTAAAAGATTCCAAATCAAAGATCAAAACACTCTGAAATACTTCCCAATGTTTATTGCAGAAGATGAATGGGACCATATGCAGCAATATACTCAATATAGGGGTTTCCCACTGCGTTAGACTTATACTCTTTTATTGCTGATTTCATTCCTTCCCTTTAACTAGTGCTTTTGCATTTTACTACATGTGTCCTGTTTTACTATAGGTGAAGATCTAAACTGAGCCATGCTTAATATTAGAGCAATAGTCCAGCTAACTCATAACTTGCATCTCTGTTCTCCAATATTCTGTTCATTTCAACTTTTTGAATTTTGTGGCTTGGAAATATGCAACCATTTAGTGCAGTGTTTCCCAAACTTGACAATTTTAAGGCATGTGGACTTCAACTCCCAGAATTCCACAGCCAGCGTTGCTGGCTGTGGAATTCTGGGAGTTGAAGTCCTCATGCCTTAAAATTGTCAAGTTTGGGAAACACTGATTTAGTGCAACCTCTAGCTGAAAGAATATCTCCTGGCTGAATTACAATATAGTTTTCATTAAGACTGGAAGCTCTGCACATGATTATTCTAAAAGCAGGTCTTTGTTGATAAACTACTTGATCATTACTTCAAATAGATTCAGTAGAGCCAGTGTTTTCTGCATTTAAATGTGGATTCGTAACTCAACAATGCTTTCTTGACATTTTTTTATAGCAACCATAATTTTGTCACCTTTATTGGTTTTCTTCAGACAGTGTCTTCAGGATTTCATTTATATCCTCTACACTACACCAAGCAGGAAGTGTTTTGATATATGACTTGATGGAAAATGGCAAGCCTTCTATACTTAGCACATTCAATGGAGATAGGAGATTTTCACGCTTTGGAGAAGAGGTGCACTTATGGGATCTGAACAACGATGGACTTGGTATAGTTAAAACTTTTTATTGTGAAATATCAAAAAAATTGCATAGTAAATTCTACTGAGGGTGAGTTCAGTATTCCACCATCCTCTTTTTCTTCCGGGGAAGTAAATTTGAGGATTGTCCTCCTGTGTCGCTCCAGGACTAAAACAGTAAATCCAAAGACAAATCCCTGTTTCCAAACTTGCATTCTAAGATCACAACTGAGAGCTTGGTTGCATCCTGGAATAGGTGGATGATTGAGGCTGGACTAGATTGCTCCTTTGAGACCTCTGTGTGCACTGATCCTAGGGTATACCTTAGTTTTCTGATGAGCCCCACAGATGAAGCGCCAGAAGTGACACTTCTGTTTCTGCAGAAAGTCTAAAGAGTGAATCTAACTGAACATGAATATTTTGTCCATATTTAGTGATAAGAGCAGTGAAGCATTTTTAGTTTTCTGCCCTTATTGTTTCTGCTGATAGCTAACCAGTAGCTCTGGGTAGAGTGATCCATCCATCTATAGAACTGCAGTGAGTATTCATGCTATTTGGTGAAAAAAGTGACTCAGTTTATTTGAAGCTGGTCTCTGGCCAGATCCAAGTGAGTTGCATAGTGCATTCTTTCTGAGGGTATCTGGACTGAATTAAATTATGTAACACTCTAAGAAGTGAATAAAGTCCTCCAATCTGCCAGCTTGGCCACCTGTTGGTTAAATTCTAGCTCTTTCTGGGCTATCAAAGAAGCCCAGAAGGTGACTATGGGACGGGTCCATGTAGTATATCACCCTCTGAGGGAGTGAATGGACCTCTGGCAATGAAAAAGGTGGGTGGTACGCCTCAATAAACCACTGGACCCCTTTGGTTGCTTCCAATTTTGTGAGCTGCAATAGCTGCCAGTTGGATTCTGGATGCAACTCAAGGTTTTGGTTGTTACCTATAAAGCCTTTCATGGCACAGAGCCCAAGTTATCTGACCGTCTCCAATTGTTTCTCCCTACTCAATATTTTCATGCAGAATGGGTTGCTCCGGGACAACCCCACAAGAAGTCATGTGGTCATCATGCTTAATGACTGCTTTGCTCAACGATTGAGATTCGGGTCTCAACTGAGCTTACAGGTTGAGGACTACCTGTACAATTTTGCTAATATTTATAGTGTGAATTTTTTGCTGTGCATATTGGCAGATGAAATTATTGTATCATCGCCTCTTCGAAATGAAAAAAATATGGGTGGATTGTTTGGAAAACAAGTTGGATATATTTATATATACAGTGGAAACCAGACCACTTCGGGTCATGTGACAGACGACTGCAAATCATGGACTTCCCCTTGTCCTGAAGACTGGGTAAGTTGTTTGTTAACTACACTTAAGCTAGTTTTAAGAAAACTAGTTTTAAATTATATGTTTATTTAAATGTAAAACACTACATTTAAAATTCCTTTTTAAAGTTAACTCTGATATTACATAAAACTAAGCAGCAATATAATAGCACAACCATATTACTGCTTTATAATAAAACTGTATTATTTCAGAAACATACCTAATCTATTACATATATGTTGTGAAGCTGAAGAATAAAAGCTATACTAAGTTACCTAAAAAGAAACAAAACAAAACCTAACAAAAATAAGGCTTCAAAAAAGGTGGAAAAAATACCTGACTATACTAACTAAAAAAAGCAAAACACCAAAACATTTATCTTTTTTACACACAAGGACACAAATTGATTAAAACATATGCATGTGTACCAAAAAATGTATGATTGTATACTGCTCCTGCTCAGCAGATAGTACCATTATATATAATCAATTTCTGCACTGAACTGAGTTTCCATAGTAGAAATCATATTCATCAACTCAGAAACCCTTTAGAAATATTTGTAATTGATTATTGTACTAGTAAAAAATAATGGTAGCTTTTCATTCTTTTCTTTTTTCCTTTCCCAGGCACAGTATGTTATCATCTCTCCAGAGGTATGATAATAAAATGTTTTGATGGGATTATTGCTTTAACACTAAGGAATCTTTAACTATTAAATTGTCAATTGATTCAAATATTAAAACACCCAATTACTCGAGCTTCAAGTTATAATAAATGTCTTGCTGTTTCTAATCTAACATCATACTAATAATCCATTAGGACCAGGAAAATAATCCTTCCATTTTCACTCAACTAGACCCAAGCATTAAATTATCACAAGTAGAAAAAGGGTTTCAAACAGTATGGATATGTAACTTTGGGACCATATTTAACATAGATTTACTAATTTAATCAATCATGATTAGCATAAGATATAGTAATTAAAGTAGGATAACTTTAACAACTGCAATGTTTAGTAAGTGTAGAGCTTGTTCCTGTTATTGAATCATTGATTTCAATCAGATGTTTGGCTAAGCAAAAATGTTTAGAATCACCATTTTCATCTTATTTTGATCGAGGGCAGTGGCTTTTGGAGAACTGAAGCTAAAGCACAGCTAACAGCCAAATAAATCATGTCTTTCCATTTACCTAGCACAGTGGTTCTCAACCTTTCTAATGCCGCGACCCCATAATACAGTTCCTCATGTTGTGGTGACCCCCAACCACTTATACATCACCGGGTGCCAGGGTCGTGGACAAAGAAAAGGGGAAAAAATGGCAGACAGCCTTGTTTGGCGACCCCCATGAAATGGTCGTCCCGACCCACAGGTTGAGAACCACTGACCTAGCAGGTTGTCAAGAGAAAGATCCTTGCCAGAGAACAAATTACAAATTAGTTTAACAACATTTGATATTGCTTAAATGTTATGTGACACAATCTCAGTGCTATAACATGTATCTTCATTCATTTGGTCACTAGAAGCTGTTTGCTCAATAGATATTGTATTCCAATACTGCTGTTCCTCATTGTAGGAACTCGTTAGGAACAGCATTGAACACCTTAATTACAGAGTATGACATTGGTGGCTATATATTCTCATTGCAGGAAAAATCAAGATTTGGGAGTGCTCTTCTTACAATAAAAACTGGAGAAAAGGTAATTAAAACAAGTAGTACTGGTTTTTCTCACAATGGAAAACAAGGCCAGATTGAAAATCATTTGCTGTTTATTACTAGTAAAGGAAACATACAGAATTGACTGTTTCAACTCACAGAAAACCAAAATCATTTGTAGAAAAAACTCCATGCTAGCTACATCTTTTTTTCCTGATCATTTAGCATTTAATGGAAGCTTTCCAATCTGACTTTTTAATCTTCCGTTCAATGGTGTCTGATTCTTGGATGACTGCCTGGACAAATCCCTGCAGTTTTCTTAGCAAGCTTGTTTAGAAATGATTTCCCATTGCCTGTTTCCTAGGTCTGAAGAGAGAGTGATTGGCCCAAAATCACTCAGCTGGCTTTGTGCCTAAGGCAGGACTAGAACTCCACTGCCTTAATCACTAGACCAAATTGGTTCTTAAAGTAATTTAGTGCCCTCCAGATGTGCGGAAAGTGTAATTTCCCCAATTCCTAGAAGGCCATGCCGGCTGAAAATTCTGGCTGTCATTTTCCAGTCAACAAAATAACCTTGTCACAAAAATTTCAGGATATAGTTTTTTCCTTAGGATGCAGAGTATTAATACCTGCTTTCTGCCTTGACAGAATGAAGTTGTTGTAGCTGCTGAAAGAAGTTCAACTAAAGCCCGACTTAGTGGAAGGCTTTTTCTTTACACCTTCTGATTATCATTTTGTGCTTCAAAGAACCTCTTCAATGAAGTAATCCTGAGTTTTGTGCACCAGTAATTCCTGCATAGCAAATCTGCTCCTGACTTAGTATGTGAACAATACTAAACCTTTTAAGAAGTTAATCATGCCTCTTAAAATTAGTGTATTTTTTAAGATATTCATGTTAAATGGAATAATGAGAGGAAGTTTTTCTAAATCTTTTGCAGCTTTTGGTTATTAGTTATTTTAACAGTTGCATGACAACAGATATAGTCTTATTTTTTAAAAAAATATTCCAACAGACTTGGATTTGGTATATTGGAGAACAAAGTCAAGAAGAATCCTAAATGTTGAGTTAACAGCATCAGTAAAACAGATTTTCTCTTTATCTCTATCATTATAACTTTATACATTAAGTAGTGTTAACAATACTTCTATAAATAAATGAGTTGAGGCTCCAGAACTTTGTGACCTTTAAGAGAAACTGTCTCAGGCTAACAGCTATTTAAAGAATATTTTTTATTACTGATAACTCATTTGTCCTCCATTGCATCAAACTTAAGTTTGCTATCTTGCTCAGTTGTTGAAAACTGTCCCCTAGCCATGATTCATGGCTAATCATATTGACATGACAACCTGGAGAGAATGCAAGGTATTAAAATGTTTTTCCTCCAGAACAGATAGCTACCTAGCATATTTCCAGTCCAAATTAATTGTCCAGTGATAGGAGTTTGTACATCCTCTAAGCATGATCCTTTCTAACATTAGAGAACCAATATTGGATAAATTCAGTAAATTTCAGAAGCTGGCTCAATATTCCAACTACGCCGTTAAATAATTTCTATAGCTCATGTACAGAAAGCCCTAGGCTTGATCCCTAACACTTCTAGTTAAAAGGATCAAATAACAGATGGCAATACAAAAAAACTACTCAAAATTCAGACTTGTTGTTGTTAATCCGTACGGACAATAAGTCAAGACAAATATACATGTCTCAGGATAATGTTGCAGGATCCAATCTGGGATGGTCACCAGGACTAGAGGTTTAGTCTTCTGAGCTTTCGGACTTGTGCTGGACCCTATTCATGCATTCTGGTGAGAGAGAAGTTCCCCGAGGATAGGGTCCAGCACAAGTCCAAAAGCTCAGAGATGAAACCTCTAGACCTGGTGACCAACCCAGATGGGATCCTGCAATAAATGAAGGACCCAAGCTAATACTATTGCAGCTTATCCTCCAAACCAATTCATTCCCAATTTTGTCTACTGTGAATCAGGTTTTCTTGATACTATTTAGGATAATAATTAACATACCATCTTAAGTTAAATGATCTACACAATGGCTGATTTATTAATTTGCCTCTGATGCAAAGCAAGCAGTAAGTACTGTTTTTCTGACTGAGTAGCATTTTGGAACCATTCTGAATAGAGTCATATTACAACAGCTGTCATGAGACTGATGCTGCATTGAGATAAAAGTACAGATAACTCTTGACTTACAACCATAACGGAACCTGCCCATTATGGTGACATGCCATGACAGCCATTGAGTGTCTCACTTAACGAACCCTATTCCTGCTCTCACCAATGCAATCATTAAATGAATGTGCAGGTTGTTAAGAGGAGCATGGAGTGCCTCAACAATCTGGAAAGCTGTTTTTTAAGGAGGCTCCACAAACTTCTCAAACAAACGAAGCCTCCTTAAAAAGGGAGAGCTTTCTCCTAAAACAGTACTAGTAACTCTATTTTTGGTAGCTATGACAGAAATATAAAACTGAGTAAAATAAGCTTTTTACCTTTCGGAATCCAATAACTGAAGAGTTAGCAATAAAACTATCTTTACAAAATACTAAATCTAAACAATAGAACATGAAATTAACATTCTGGTATATTATTTTCAAAAAAAGAATTTGTTATCAGAGATAACACTATTTTTACATAAATATATCTTACTCTTTAGAAAGAATTTAGACAACATTTTTGCCTTCTATGAACTATGCCTGTGAAGGAATACATGTAAAACAATTATTATGGTTGACATGGTTTTCTTATATTGGCAAAAGGTTAAATTTTATCAGAATTCCCACAGAAAGCATTAGTTAAAGAAAAAAAGGTTGTTTTTTAACATTTACATGATTTAAATTTTCTACTGTAGTATTCAAAACTCTGAAGTCTTCTCTCCATTACTGAAGATTTTTAACTTCTTATTTTTGGGATATAACACAGTCAAATGGTAAAGGCTGCTACATTTTTTTAAAAAACGAAATCCAGGATGATAGTCTCAAGTTCAAGTTATCCTGGCGTATTCATGTCATTGGCTGGTCATTGTACTTCTGCTTGACTCAAAGGATTCTGTTTTGAAAACATTTTTAAACTCTACTTTTCCATTGGCTGTCTGCGCTTTTTTCAATAAAGTTGGCATCTAAAGAAGGAAAAGATAACAGAATGAGGATTGTAAAAACGGGTGGAGAAGCTAGCGTTGTGCTTAAGTAAGCAAAAGGAAGGTTGCTTGTGGACTTCAACGCCCAGAATTCCTGAGCCAGCTATGTTGAAGTCCAGAAGTCTTAAAGTTGCCAAGGTGGACACCTCTGATCTATACCGTACTGCTATTTATGAACATTGGCAGCATATCGCTATTTACTTGCTTAAAATATATCAAACACTAAATATAATATAGTATCCTTGGAGAGTGTAAAGTCATATCTAATTAAGGTACAATGGGGAAGTCTGGCTTGTTCCTTAGTCAACAGCTACGTACACCTAAAATATGCTCTGAGATTCAAATGGAGGTTTATCAATCGTGTGCACCTCTGCTAAGTTATGTACAACCACTGTTAAGCAGAATAAGTTCTTAAAGGACTACATTTGACCTTTTAAAATTGGAGCCTCCCTTCAAAAGCCTGCCAGAAAGCAGAGGTTCATTCTGACTGTTATTAAGAATTCTGCCTGAAATTAGGATGCATTGTCTCAGAGGGTAAATGATGCTGTGACCACAACAGGAAGACACAATTTAAGGCAGACACAGCAGCAAAGCCAGACTGTAACAAATACTCATACACAAAATAATTTTTCAATTCTTAATATCCTTGCAAGCATTTTCAAGAACCAAAAGCTAAGCAATAGAAATAAGAATCTGAATAAAGCTTGTAGATTAACATCACTTGGATTGAATACAGAGGACAGAACTAGAAATATGCAATAATTCATCGTCCTGTTTGTTTTATTGATATCCCACTTTTATTCAGGAACTCAAGATAAGTGTACAGTATTCCTTTCTCTCATTTTTCCCCCCATAACAATCCTGTGAGGTAGGTGTGAGAGAGTGACTGGGCCAAAATCACCCAGTGGGCTTTTATGGCTAAGGGTGGATTTGAATCCGGGTCTCCTTGATGCTAGTCCAATATCTTAGCCACTACAGAACACTGGATCTCGTGTACTTAAAAATCTAATACTCCAGCAAGATACATGGCAAACTAAGCCTCTTCCATACAACAGACACAGAAGAATGGTTCTCTTCCGAGGTTAACACAAAAAATCAAATCACAGTTGTCCTCTGTAATCTCAGAATGCAAAACAAGGAATAACACCCTGAAGTTATAGGAAGACAAGAATCTGATCAAATATTAGAAAAATATTATACGCTACTCATGATTCAAACTGAATTTTGTTGATGGTTTTATTCCCAATATACTGTACCTTCATATGAGATTTAAGCTAAAATGTTGGGGAGGAATGAGGTAGCTTAATGTAGTAATAGTGAAAACATACTTACTGGTGGAAGCATTGACGGTTCTAGATGCCGCCCAAGAAATGTAAGCAGGCGCCGCCAAATTAAGCCACTGCCTAGGAACATAATTCCTGTCACCAGCCAAAACATTCCATGGTTCTAATATGGTAAGAGCACAGAATGAATAATTCTCACCTCAGACCTTTCATTAGTTTTTAAATCTTACTGCATTTTTTAAAATGACTCTTAACTGACAATATTAGATTTATTTACCCAGGGGTATCACTTAATATATCAATCCTGTAGGAATGTGACATGGAAAGTGAACAGATCCCTGGCATACACAATGGATCCTTTTCTTTCCACTAGGGTTCATTAAACAAAGACAAGGGCTTTAAGCTTTCTCTTTTTTCCTCATTTACTCCATTGGACCTTGCAGAAACTTTTTCTGTCCTTTAAAGAGGACTGGCTAAAGAAGACAGCTTTCGTTCAGATATGGTTCTGATCACTAGTACAAATTTCACCAAGTTGAAATGCCAGCCTTTTGATGTAACCTCACATAAAACAAGTAAGGCTGCTATTCATCCCATAAAGAAAAATACAACACATAAATAGCTTGAGCATAGTCTGAAACAATGCTCTCACGACATTCATTAAACAACAAATATTCTATTGTCAAGTTCTAATAGCCAATTAGTACAATGCAATTAAAAGCAGCCTTTGTGGCTTTACCAGAATATTTTACAAAATATCTAGAAATGTTGTTTTTAGTATTGTTTCTCACCTCTTCAAATGATGATTCCAAATTCATACCAAATGCTACTCCTATCAATCCAAAAAGTGAGATTGAAAAAGTACCCATGGTCAGCTGCAGGTTTAACCTCATCATAACATTGCGGTGGCTAAAAAGGTAAAATATAACTCTGTTAAATTGAAGGATTAAATGTGACCGTTAACATTTGCTTCAGAGATTTAAACAACTTTAGAGAAGATGCTCTTTCATACTTGCTTCTAGGAGTAGCAACCCAGTTTACAACCAGTTTTTTTTTAAAAATAAACCACTAGCCACTACCACTTACATAGTTCAGCCCAGCCTATGTTACCATCAATTTAATGCTACTGTTGCTCTAGAACAGAGTTTTTCAAGCTTGGCACTTTTAAGAATGTGTGGACTTCAATTCCCAGAAGTCCTCAGTCCACACATCTTGAAATTGCCAAGTTTGAAAAACACTATCCCAAAAGGATACTATTCCCCTATTCCCCCTATCTTGCCGGTTGGCCACCTTGCATTCTGCTGTCCCTGTTTTTTCCAGCTGATCTTCTTCCCATTGCTGAAGAGGTGAGCCTGGCCAAAGAAGCTGCTATTTCTCCCTGAAACTTCACTGAGGCCTATAAAAGGTCAGCAGCTGCATAGCAGGTACACCTCTGTGGCAAGAGAAAGAAGATAGAGAAATTCAGCTGGGGGGAGGGGAGGGGTGGCCAGAGTGCAGGGCAGAGATCCAAAATGGGAGGAGAGATAAGTGGGTGGCACACCCTGCAGTTATAAATGTAGGTGGGCTGCCAAGCACCCAAATTTTGATCATGTCACCACAGGTGTAACTTTGAGGATTCCTTTAGTGCCATCATAACTTTAAATAGTCATTGAATGAATGGAGTGGCTGTGCAACTTGTTTAAGATATGTGTGAAGACCTGACTTAACGCAAACTTAACTTTGTGGAAACTTTTTTGAACATGTACAAAAATGGCAGATGGACACAATGCTAATAGCAAACCGACATATATGTTGGTTAACTTGCTTACTAGTTTTCTGCAGTGGAACAGTTACAAAGGTTAGGGACTGCTTATGTAATCATAATAGCTTATGATTAAGTTCATTTCATTATTGACAGAAGACTACCAGTCCATCTCTAGAACCATTAGCTTCATTCAAAAAATTAATTCATCAAAAGCAAAACAGACTTTGTCAAGTTAGCATTGATAATGGAATGTCTCAAAGCAAAGCAATATAATTTATTAAAATAACCAAATAATTTATAGGAATAAAAAATAAATTTATTCATTTCCTCTGAGAAAAAGCTTTATAAACAAAACTATTTTATAAAGAAAACTATTTAATCTAAATGTCAAATGAGTTTTAAAAAGTGTATGTTAAATTTTAACAATATGTTCCACACAGCTGACCTGTCTAAGTTGATAAAGATGATACTTTCAGAATCATCAATCAGTATTTTAAGTTCCCGGGTTTCATTCATAAGATCTTCTGCCTGCCTGTAGTAATTTTCCAACAGCAGTTCCATCTCCTCCACATGGTCAATTCCAGAAAGACTTGCCTCACTGTGAACAATAACCGTAAGACCATTGCAAATAGAAGCCATAGTGATAGTATATATGGCAATAATACTATACAATAATGGAAATTCACTTTTTATCGACCAAAGAAAGGTCTTTCTAGCAGTGTTCAAATTAGAGGATCACTATCACTTGAATGATATCTACAATGAATGTTGTATCACGAGTATTTAGCAATTAGGAAGAACCTTTAGCTGTACATTGGATCAGCGACACTATCATTCATCTTCCTCTAAGCCAGTGTTTCTCAACCTTGACAATTTTAAGGCATGTGGACTTCAACTTCCAGAATTCCACAGCCAGCATTGCTGGGAGTTGAAGTCCACATGCCTTAAAATTGTCAAGGTTGAGAAACATTGCTCTAAGCATGTTCAAATTAAGGTTTTCACTTATGGCAGGAAAAAAAATGTTTCTCTATCCTGGCCATGGAAATATATATGTACTTATTGGAGAAAAATCTAACAAACTCCTGATTAACCTGTTTACCTAACAGATCATATTCTGTTCTTATTCTGCAGGGTTTATATTTCAAAATATTTTTAAAGTGAGATTTTCAAACTAGAATGGCTTTATTAATAGTCCATGTGGAATACAAGCTTGTAAGCAAACTAACCTTGGGCCTTTTTAATGATTATAAATTATCTTTACCCAGAAGACAAAGAAGATAAATGGATAAAAATATCTTTAGTAAGAAGCGTAGAAATGGTACAATAATGTGGTAAATGTTGTGGATATATAGTACTATATTGGAATAAATATAATATCCTGTACACTGGTGATAACATAACTACAGCTAACAAAACCCTGACTTCTTTATTGCTTTGATCTTGAGAAAATCCCGTTACGTACATATTCTACAGCTCAAATAAAAGAGGATATTAGGAGAAGGGTGAAAATGCCCTATGAGTTTGTGGGGAAGAATGTATGAAATGAGCATAGCTTCAAGACTTAAACACATTTTGGGAATATTTGTTGTGTTAATTCTATTTATATATTTTAAACGAATTGACAAGTTAATAATAATTCTTAATTGATGGCAAAAAAACACAGGATTTTTCTGTAAAACTATAGCTTTTATATGAAAATGGTGATTTCAATGGCGACAAAAGCTCTGAATGGCAATGAAAACATTATGTTTTGTTACTATGACTTATATCCTTATCACTCCCGACTTAAGACTACTACAACATGTCCCGCATGGGACTGCCTTTGAAGATTGTTTGAAATCTGAAGCTGATCCAGAGCACAGCAATTCAGGTGCTCGCTGCAATTCATTGGTGGGAGCGCATTACACCAGTACTGTGGGCCCTGCACTGGTTTCCAACACTCAGCAGAACTGCTTTTCAGCAGCTGCATCAGCTCTTTGGAATGGCCTCCAGCACACATCCAGTTAGTTCCTATCCTAACTTGGTAAGCTGCTCAGAAAAGAGTACTTCAGAGCTAATTTTGGCTTTGGTTTCACCTTCATTTGGCTATATTCTGGTTGGATTAATTTATTATTATTTTATATTTTCATTAGTTGCTGAACCTTTCCTTTTTATTTACTGCAGTGTAAATATACATGGATGTCAACTCCCAGAATTCTGGGAGTTGCATGAATTAGAGTAGGGGTACCCAACCTCCAGGCCATGATTCGTTGAGAACCGGGCCATGGAAGTGGTGGGTGAGCATGTGTCCGCCGCTCGCACAAATGCAGCTGTACGCACTTGCTTGCCCGCTGCTCACTTGGAACCATCCTCCCCCACCGGTCCGCAAAGCTGGAAAGATTGGAGACCGCTACATTAGAGTTACCAAAGGTTGGGTAATACATCTTATATATTCTTATTTTTTCCTTGTATCCATGGAGATTATAGTAGTCTACATATGAAATTAAGGAACAGCAAATATTTTGTTTGATTTGAAAACTAGGCTGATTACAAACAAAATCTTTTGGGCTTTATTGGGCTTCCCAACAGATGTTTAGAAAGGGCTGGCAATCATCCTACATGAGAGATTAAATAAATTGGAAGCCATTCTAGCACACATGATCTGGTCACGTTCTCCAGTAAAATATTAATACAACGTTGTATTTTGGAAATTAAGGTTTAAAGATGTTAATGTTTATTTTAGTATATTTCCCAAACAGAATTTGCCTACTTCTGGGGAGGTTTGGATATATTATGCCTGGATTAGAATAAAAAAGGTAATTATGCCATTTAGGAAGTTTGGGTTTCAGATTCTAAAGGATGGGTGTCCAATCTTTTGGTTTGCCTGTGCTGTGCTGATTGAAGAGGAATTGTCTTGGGTCACACATAAAATATATAATAGATGTATATAAATAGTAAACTTCCTTTTTTAAAAATATTTTTTATTATATCTTGTGGGGCTGCATTATTCCAGGGCCACATTATTCCAGGGCCACATGTGGCCAATGAACAGAAAAGGAAGGTCTTGATTTACCAAAGTGTAAAACCATGTTGCAGCAATTTGAGGTTGTAGAAAAATAGATAACATTTGCCACTACTATATTATTTGATTTTATTGCTCATATATTTTCTCATCTTTTAATTTTTTGCTTCATTTTTCTTCTGCTGTTTTGCTTTATGCCTTGCTAGTTTTACGGTATTCAACTTTTTTTATTACACAGTTTGGGGTGAATTATCTGAATGATATTCAGGGTTCTGCTTTTTATTTATATTCCACCTGTACTCAAGAAAATCAATTAGAATATTTTTAAAAATAATGAAACCAAACCAGTTTTGACTCAAGTATACCAGAATTCTATTGTAAGTAGATAATCAATCAGATTTTGGTGACAGCCCACTGAAATACATTTGTTATCCTCCGTATTTTACAGAAACCACAAATTTTCAAAGGTCACAAGTCATTAACTAGTAGCAATAATAATTGTCAGACAATGGTTAATTGGTTTCTGATAAAACAGCATTTGACGTGCTTTTGAGGGGAGCAGTATATGTTCTCGGTACAGCTATGCTGTGCAGTTGTTTGTGCAATGGAAAATTAAGACATTTGGAAACATAACCAGTTTAAACAAACAAAGGAACTTATGCTTCCTCCATCACAAAAACTTTGAAGTATAATTTGGACCACCAGAAACACTCTTTTACAACCTATACTTACAATACTTCTGGATCTGTCCATTTAGTCAGACACAGTTCTTCCATGACTTCTTTGTCATCTAGGATTTCCAATATTGTCTCTTTGAAAACTTTAAGATCAGTTTCTAATTCTGACAAACTAAAAAATAAAAGCATAAGAGATATATCACAAAACATACTATGTTTTTCAAATTAACCAATATTTCACTGAAGTTGTTTGTACATATGAGCTTGCTGTTAGACCTCTTTCTGGGTCAAGTCAAAATCCAAAGTGCAAGTCATTCTTGAAAACTCTTCACAGCTGAGCAATAATGTGGGCCATTTATGCTTAGACATAAACATTTACAGCAGCTTCATGTTATATGAAGCCACTGAAATTAGAATCTGTTATCTGGTTTCACAGATACAAAAATATCTTTCATTTAAAATGTAATGAAGTTGGGATCTGCTACCTGAAAGACATCGTTGCCTTTATGAATCAGTTGGGATTTGTAAGAATCTGGTTACCTCTCTAATGTAGCAGAAAAGGTTAAGTGGTAATAGCTTTAACACTATACTTTAATACTACTATAGTGGTATTAATATTTTTAAATTTCATTATTAATACACCAGTTTCAAACAACTCTGTTAACCAAGACTTTTAAAAGTGGCTATTATTTGATTTTCTGCGATTGTTAGTTCTTAGATTTCAAAGGCATTAAAACATTTTCTCTTCGTCACTCTAATAGATTTGTAATATAAAAGTAAAAGAGAAATTTAGGTAGTTTGTTTTTATATCGGGCTCAAAATATTCATCTGTTTCAGCAATGGTTTACGTTGTCTTATTTCCACAACCATGTGGTGTTAAACTGTTGCATCAAAAAGATTATTAACTGCATCAAGTAGAACTGAACAAGTCAATTCAGCATTCAAGACAACAATCTACAGTGCTTTTATCCCTGCCTAATATTTAGTTTAAGCGATCTGTTGTAATAAGTGTAGTTGTTATATAATTCAAGAAAATGGCTGACTACAATTTACATTAACAAGGTTATAGAAGAGACTGAAGGTAGACTTGCTTACCTCTTTCCATTTTGCAGTAAGATATGGACTTTACTCCTATCCAGGGACAAAAGCTTAGGGTCCACTAAAGCATTCAGCGTTTCAAGAATTTGAGGCTGCAGATGGCTAAGTTTGCCAGTCAGGTAGCTGATCTAGATAACAACATGATCCTTTATAAGAATTAAAACAATTCTTTTAGAATGCCTTCTAAAAAAGTTCTTTTGTCCAGCAAAACAGACATATCATCTTGAAGTTATAGCAAACTTGATAACGCAGGCTGAAATATAGGCAAAACATCCTTCCACTGGAATTAAAACCTATACCAACCTTATAAGTATACGATGGATGCATGGTGAAATCTTTTTATTATTTTATTTCTCATTGCCACTGATTTAAATAATGAATTTAATGTTATTATGATATTGACTTGGATATGTATGCAATAACATGCAACATATAAATATTTAAAAGTAAACATTCGTGCTCAAAACTGCTTCTGATACATGCCAGTTATTACACTGCACAAAATAAGCGACTTGTTTTTTTTAAAAAAATGAAAACCAGAATATCTTCACTTGTGGTCAAGTCATCCCTTTTCACTTTCCTTCAAGGATCTCACAATATCCTTTGATTATTATTATTATTATTTGCATTACACTAATTACAGGAGTTGTCAGGAAACTAGCTCAGAAACACAATCTTTAAATACAGAATACATTAATAAGGATAGCCATTTGAAGTAACCTATAGCAGGGCGTTTCAACCTTTTCACCCATTGTACCACTTTTAGGATATGGCAATATCTGAGTACCACCAGTCGCCTAGCAAGGTGTCAAAAACTTGATGACGAAAAAAAAGGAAAAAAGTGATAAAGTACAGGTAGTCCTCGACTTACAACAGTTTGCTTAGTGACTGTTCAAAATTACAATAGCACTGAAAAAAGTGCCCCCCAAGCCACAGCCAAGCAAGACACCTGCCGGCCCGCCCGGCGGCGCTCTTCCTCCTGTCCAAGGTTTTCATTGTGATGAGCATTTCTGTTAGGGAGTGGCAGTGGAGGTGGGGTGGGGGGTGTTTGGTTTTTATTCCCCCATCTACTGGGTGGTTGCAGCAGGTTTTGGTCACTTCACATGACCCTGGGACACTGTGACCGTCATAAATATGAATCAGTTGCCAAGCATCTGAATATAAATCACAAGACCCTGGAGATGCTGCAACATTCCAGCTGATCAGGGCTTCTTCTGGGCTCAACAGAAGCGCCAGGATCAGTGCCGAGCTCCAGCTGGAGCCTGGCACTGATCCTGGCGCTTCCACTGAGCCCTGACAGTCCTGCAGCTCCAGCCATCTCTCGCTCAAGCTTGTGTGGTGCTGCCACTGGTTCAGTTCATTCCCCTCCCCCACTACCACTTTTCTGGGATGGTCGCATACCACCTGCCAGATGCCAATGTACCACAGGTGGTACCCGTACCACTGGTTGAAACACCCTGATCTATAGAAAAGGACTGCCTTTTAGCCACGATTCTCATACAAGTAGTCCTCAGCTTACAACTATCCATTTAGTGACCATTTGAAATGACAACAGTACTGAAAAAAGTGACTTATGACTGTTTTCCACACTTACGACCATTGCAGCATCCCTGTGGTCACGAGATCAAAATTTGGATGCTTGGCAACTGACTCGTATTTATGATGGCTGCAGTGCCCTGGGGTCATCTTTTGCAGCTTTTCCACAAGCAAAGTCAATGGGGAAGCCAGAGTCACCTTACAACCGTGTTACTAACTTAGCCACTGCAGTGATTCACTTAACAACTATGGCGAGAAAGATCACAAAATGGGGCAAAATTCACTTAACTGTGTTGCTTAGCAACGGAAACTTTGGGCTCAACTGTGGTCATAAGTTGAGGAGTATCTATATTTATCTGCCTCCTTCAAAAAATGATTATAATGTTCTCAACCCAAAATCCGATATATATGTTGGACTTAAAAAGTCTCGGATCTCTTGGGAATTTGGAGTTCACCATGTCCAGAAGTCTCCAGTTTGGGAAAGGCCACAACAATCACTCTCAGCACACCATAAGCATGCTCACCCAAAACTGCAGTATTGCTTCTATAGCTCTGAATTCAAAAGGCAAAGAATATGTAACTAGTTGACCTTCTCCAGCTAGCTGAGATGCCAGTTCTTGGAACAGCCATTTTTCCAGATTTGAATTGCGATAATCTAGGATCAGAAGATACTCTGGTGTTATCACAGCCTTCAAAAACTAGAAGAAGCAGAGAAGAAAATTAGCCAACACCTAATACTTGTTACATATTCTTTAGTTGTTACACTTAATACTATCTAATCCAGTGTTTCTCAACCTTGACAATTTTAAGGCATGTGGACTTCAACTCCCAGAATTCCACATGCCTTAAAATTGTCAAGGTTGAGAAACACTGATTCTAATCACAAGCCCAAACAGATTTGTCTAACATGCCCTTTGAACTGTTAGTTATACTAAGTGTAAGGATTTCAAGAGGATTTTCTCCAAAGCAAATAGGTGTAAAATTCTCAGCTGTTTCAGTGAAGGTGTTTCTTTGGTAATAGCTTTGGATTTATATGACTTGTGTTTTGTTTTCTTTATTGCCGTGATCCTAACCTTCAAACTGTCCCCTATTTTTATTTGTTGCTTCTTTTTTTTATGGTTTTGCTCATTTAACCTTAGTTGCACTTTTTTTTTTACTGTACACCTTCTGATTTCATCTTTCCCCTGAGTTCTCCTATCACATACTCTTTGAAGTCGATTAGGTGAAAAAAAGACTGTCTCAAGATTTTCAACCAGGCTTCTTGATAAAATAAAAATATGACCGTAGGTCTCTTTGACGCAATTTAGAGGTTTTGTATTGGCTCATCTCTGCTGTATTTTTTCTCTCCCATTTCCATCATTTTGCTATTTTAAATAGTACTATTCAACTCACGAGTTTACCTCATCTCACCTCATTTCCCATTCTAATCTTTTCTGTAACACTGGCACAGCACAAACTCCTTTGTTTTACTGATTATATACAAGGCATTTTGGAAGTCTTTGGGAAGAAGGAGGAGATAAACAATATCTTACTTACTTATCAGTAAATAAAAGAAAAGAAATACGTTGCTTCAAATAGCCATGTGTAAATATTTCAGAGGTTTTCCAAATATTTATTTATTTATTTATTTATGAGACTTATATACCGCTTTAGTGCAAGCACTCTCTAAGCGGTGTACACCAGTAAGCAATATATATATATATATATTTACATTGCCCCCAACAATCTGGGTCCTCATTTTACCTACCCCGGAAGGATGGAAGGCTGAGTCAACCTTGAGCTGGTGAGATTTGAACCGCTGACCTGATGAACACAGTCAGCTAAAGTGACCTGCAGTACTGCACTCTAACTGCTGCGCCACCTCGGCTCTTATTAATTAATAATTAAAAGCTGCTAAACCAACATTTGTATATGCATGTGTTTTTCTTACCTCCATTCTCATAATAATTTTGTTGTTCCTAGGTGTTATATTTACTTGATGTTGAAACCGTAGATCCCGTGCTTGAAGATTTAGTTCCTGATGTAGTTCTGTTTTCTTTCTTTCTGCCCCCAAAAACATTTTGTATAGAAATATGAAATGAAAATGTAGACCACTTGAAACAAGCAGATTATTTCTCAAAGTTATCGCTTCAACAAATACAACAAATATCTGAAATTTAACCAAAAGTATTAACAGTTGATGATAAACTGCCCCCAAAATATTAATGTTGCAATTACCTATTTAAAAAATTCTAACATGGCTGTAAAATATTTTTCTTGAAGTCGTAAGTAAAAAAGAATTCTACATACCATAGGAGGTAACATTGCCTTCTGTATCAAATTTCATCTAAAAGAAAGGAAATGGAATATTTTTAAAGACAATAGCACTGAAATTAAATAAAATTTGTCCTATTTAATATGGGTGGTATTTCCATTATTCCCTAAGTATCAAAATAATTAAGACAGATTTCTATTGAATTTTATATATTCAGAAATAGGGCAATAATTGTAAAATGAATTTTACAATTCACGTAATAAAGAGTGCTTTGAAAAATGCACAGTTTTCTCCTATAGATTAGAATAGTAGATGTGGACATTGTTTTATAAACTAAAATATCCAAATGTCTTAGCATAGTGGTTAACAGTATGAGAATAAATCAGTTGTGTAAAAGTTTTATTGCAGTTTAATTCTAAAATGATAGACCTCGAGATGTCTCTGGAAGGATTGGACTTCAACTCCCATAATCCATAGCCAGCAGGTTATCTGGAATGTCACGACTGGAGAAGGCTGTCCAAAAAAGTGCATTTAGATTTATCTCTCAATTCATTTATTGACAATTGAGACATGCATACTTTCTCCTAGCTAGTGGCCCAACGCAGGATGAATTATTTTTAGCCCTTCCAATTTTTACAAATTATTCTTTTCTACCCCGACTGCAACCCAATGTTGTAAATGAACCCTGCATTTCATCTATTACTTTCCATCTCTATTCCTGCAGCATTTTTTTTCCTCTGTGAAGCGTGAGTAATCCTTCATCTATGCTTTCCACTTCATGGCCTTGCAGGGGAACACTTACCACTGAAAACACTGGTGCCACACTGGCTAAAGTAGCCTGAGTCACCTCTGTGCTGCAGTGCCGAGAAAGAGCATCTAAAGTGAATAGAGAGAAGCAGAGGAGAAACACTATGAATAAAGAGTAGCTAATATGAAGAGTCAGCAGGAAAGTTGTTCAATAGTAAATACCACCCACCTTGAGAAAAGATGCCATAGAATAAAAGGTATTTTTTTTTCCAGTTCAATTCCTGGTTACATTCCACAGGTACAAAGCAGTTTTATTGGCAACAAGATAGAAACGACGGACATGGTCTTCCAAGATGTTTTTTCAAATTCTCAGTTTAGGCTATAGCCCTGGTAATCCCTGAATATCTCCATTCAAGTACAGCTAGTCCTTAACTTACAAACAGTTCATTTAGTGACTGTTCAAAGTTACAATGTCACTGAAAAAAGCGACTTATGACCATTTTTCATTTATGACCGCTGCAGCATTCCCATGGTCACATGACCAAGATTCAAATGCTTGGCAACTGGTTCATATTTATGACGGTTGCAGTGTCCTGTGGCCATGTGACCCCCTTTTGCAATCATCTGACAAGCAAAACCAACGGGGAAATCAGATTCACTTAACCACCATGTTATTAATTTAATAACCACAGTGATTCACTTAACAATTGGAAAGAAAGGTCTTAAAATGGGGCAAAACTCACTTAACAAATTTCTCACTTAACAACATAAATTTTGACAGATTAGGTTGCTCTCAGAAAGTAAAACAGTTTGATGATTTCTAATGAATGCCTTGAGACAGCAAAGGACAAGAAATATTTGTACATGCAAAGGTCTCCATCTCTTTAAGGTATGTATCTTTTTTTTGGTATAAATTTCTGCACATTCTAAAATTTTCTTAATTAGTACTTCTTCAGCTGGTAAATTTTCATTTTTCCAATGTTGGGCAAATACAATTCTTGCTGCCGTTAGTACGTGTAATATTAAATATATGCAATCTTTCTCATAGTTTGCTCCTATTATTCCTAACAAAAATAATTCTAGCTTAAAGTCTATTTGTTTTTTAGTCATTTTCTCTAACCATAAATGTATTTTAATCCAAAATCTTTTTGTTTTAGGGCAGTGGTGGCGAACCTATGGCACGGGTGCCAGAGGCGGCACTCAGAGCCCTCTCTGTGGGCACGCGTACAATCACCCTAATCCTAGGCCTTCAGCTGGGTTTTATAAAACCTTTTCGTTTTAGGCCTCCACCACCATGTGCAAAAAAAAAAAAAAAAAAAAAAAAGTTAAATCAGTCAATTTCAACTTCTCACGGGGAAAAAAAAAAGATCTTGCAAAATTGGAATTGATTGAACTTTTTAATCCCACCCCATCTGTGGTTACCACTGTAGCCACGTCCACCCAATTGGCCACACCCACCCGGCACTCGACGATGCATAAGTGGGTTTTGTGTTGCAGTTTGGGCACTCAGTCTCTAAAAGATTCGCCATCACTGTTTTAGGGCATGTCCACCAGATATGATAAGTATCTAGTCTTTGTTTGCATTTCCAACAGTTGTTTGAAGTATTTTTAAACATTTTTGCTAATCTCACTGGTGTCATATGCCATCTGTAAAGCATTTTATGTAAGTTTTCTTTATATGCCACTGCTTTAGTTAATTTAACATTTCTTTCCCAAGATATGTATTTTCAAAATTGCCCTCAAACTGTCCGGTGATCGAGACAATGTAAGAAAATGAGCTCCTTATATTACAGCAAATTTATAATGCTTCTATTTAAGCCAAAGAAATGATTTGAGAAATCATAATAATTTGTACACATGCAAATATATAATTTCTACTGAACATGGATGACAGGCCTTTCTGCATTAAAAGCTGAAGAGCTCATTCATCTTTAAGTCAGCATCAAAATGAATTGACATGAGGTCTGTGGCCAATCTGAATCTTGACTCTACTGTCTTGTTCTAATCACTGTGGACCCTTACCTCCCTCCAAGGTAATGTCTGATGAACTCTAGATTTTACATACCTTAGTTTTTCCAATGATGCTGCTGAAACGAGGCATGTATTTGGGGTGGGGTGGGGGACACTATTTTAACTCCAAGTCTGTTTCCTTTTTTGGCTGGCCATGAGGTGATGGGGACAGAGCCCACTCCCTTCCCAAGAACATGCTTGTGCTGGGGCTAGCTACAAGTGGGGCAAAGCCCTTTTTCATTTGCATCTGTCATTTTGATGGTAAAGCATGCTGAAGAAGAGGGATAATGCATTATTCAGCCCGTGATGGCAATTCTAATTCAAAATCTCACCTCAGAAGGTGGGAAGAGAAAAATGGTATTTTGCCTGCCATCCTTTATCCTGATTTTGGCTGCATGTAAACCTCTGGGCTTAACTGGAATTCTTGAAAGCACAGAGAGTTATATAGCATCCCACTATTTCTTACAGCCAGCTTGATCTGGTAGAATTGGGGCACTCCACATTCCATTGATTAAACAATACTATCTGTCTAGGCTCTGGAAACATTTCTGTAGTAGCATTTGCCCTCTGGAATGAAATTCCACCCAAATGGCTCCCTAAAGACCACTAAAGACCTGGCTCTTTGCCCAGGCCTTTGGCTAGGCTGGCTAATGTCTCTTTCATCTTTTTTTTTGTGTGTGCCTCTATTTTTTTTTATTTTTGGGGGGGTGATTTTTTTTGCTATGTGCTGTTTTTGTGTGTTGCTTTTTATTCTTAAATGTTTTTAACACCGTATACTACCTAGAGTTGCTGGGAATAAGGTGGCACATAAATTTAGTATATTATTACAGCATTATTTATATGCTAAAGGTTTCAACCCGACTTAAATTAACATTGGAACAGTAAGCGGCTCTCTGAGCTGTTTGCTTGCAAATGATTCATTACTCAACTAGATACCATCACCTGTACAATACCAAGCTCAGATAACACCATGGAGTCCACAGTTCAAGCCTGAGTAACATCTATTTTCTTCTATTTTAACATTTAACCATTTATTTTGAATGTTGTTAGTAACCATCCATTTATCCATTCATCCATTCAGTTTTATAAAGCAAATGAGTCGCATTTATATTACAGGAGTATCATAAATTCCTAAAATTTACACAATTTGTTCTGAATGCTCAAAATATGAGTAAAATATAATTACAATATATCCCTTGGAAAATATTTAGACAGGATAAGAAAGGCATTGCAAAGAAATACTTCTGAGCAATGTATACAAGGCACAAATAATTTGAAACTTCTCAGTTTGAAACAGTTGGGCATACATACAGTATGCATTTTCCAGTTACATTCTGAGTTGAGCAGCAGCATTAGGCAGAAATTATCTTGCTGGCTCTTCTGTATCCAGGCTGTTATGAACTCTGCAATAGAAAAACACAGGTTTCTCTACCTTCCATGCCTCCTGCAGGGCCAATAATAACTTTGGGAAAAAAAGGCACTGGACATATCTTGAAAATGATGCACACTCCTCAATGGAATTTTCTTAGCTAGTTAAAAAAAATAATTGGAAGAGCCTGCACTACGAGACTTGTTGGCCACTTCATGTGTCAAGGTAAAGCTAGCTGTTTGGTGCTTTCTGCTCTGTTCATTAATGAAGATCATCCAGATACTAGTTGCAGACTACTTGGGATTGGTTCCCTAATCAGCCAGCATTCTAAGCCAAATACAGGTAGTCCTTGACTTAAGATCACAATTGAGCCCAAACTTTCTGTTGCTAAATGAGACATTTGTTAAGAGTGCTTTGCCCCATTTTAAGACCTTTCTCGCCTCAGTTAAGTGAATCACTGCAGTAGATAGGTTAGTTAACACGGTTGTTAAGTGACTCTGCCTTGCCCATTCACTTTGCTTGTCAGAAGGTTGCAAAAGGCGATCACATGAGCTTGGACACTGCAATTGTCATAAATATGAAGCAATTGCCAGGCATTTTGATCACGTGACCATGGGGATGCTGCAAAAGTAACTATGAAAAATGGGTGTCACTTTTTTCAGTGCCATTGTGACTTTGAATGGTCACTAAATGAACTGTTATACACTTTCAACATACTGATGGGAATATGTGAATGGTCTTCAAAATTTAATATTGAAAGAGAAATTTAAAATTGAATTTGCTGCAGTGGAGACTTAATGAGTGGAGAAACAAGCTTACCAAAGAAACTACAATGGATGGGAACCAGGAAAGAATAGCATAGAGTAGGGGTGTCAAATTGCCGGCCCAGATCCGTCATACTGAAACCGCGCCCACCCCAGCTCCAGTAATGGGGAAAAAGTTGCAATACGTCGCAACACATCACATGATGTTGCGAGTTTGACAACCCTGGCATAGAAGGAGGATATAGGCAAAATTATCTGGGTCTTCAGAATGGGAAAAGGAGCTGCAAGAGGAGATAACTAGCAAAACAAGAAAGAATCTATTTTTCCAAGAAGTCATTAAAAAAAGGGGGCCCAGAACTCAGACAACTGAGCATGTGCAATTAGTTGATTAATATTGACACACCTTGCATAAATTCTCTTAATTTTAATGTACATGTGATGTATGATTTAGTATGTAGCAGGAAATATGTAGGAGGCGGTCAGAAAGAGTATAACCTCATAGTACTTCTGGGAAATGGGGAAAGAGGAGGGATGTGGCGGCCGGAACATGGTTGTATAAAGAAGGGAATATTTTAGGTTGAAACTTTGGAGAGAACCAAGCTTTGATAGCTTCTCTCCCCGCTTATTGCAATAAAGGAAACAAAATGCCTTCACTGTGTCTTGGGTGGTTATTGGTCAGGCGAGCTTGCCTCTGGTCACGGAAGGAAAGTGGCCAGGAGCACATAACAATACAATGCAGTAGGTAGCTTAACAATGCCTGAAAACCCCATCACTTAAGTTTCATTCATCACATTCTGCCATACACCATCACTCAAGAACTGTAATGACTGGATTCAAACCCCACATTGATCCAAACTCCAAACAAATCTGACTGGACTGAACATCCAAATACGCACTTCAACACTCAATCAACTTTTTTTTTTCCCGAGTACAGGCAAGTTCAGGCTAGTTGGTCTGTGCGGAAAAGTTCAACGCCTCAAGAGGCAAAGTTGCAGACACTTTATATCCTCGCTGGGGAACTTCGGAGCACTTTGAGGATATCCGCCCAGGACTCCCAATGGCTCAATCATGATTCATACTCAGGTGCAAAGATTTCTGATGGAGTTTACAGGATTTAGTCAACAACAGGCTTTGCGCCTGTTCTCCAGAGAATAAACCGCTGTGATTTGTTTCTCACAACGGCAGTCCAGACGGCCACAACGCCTGCAGGCACGACTTACATGCGCAAAGTAGAAAGGTCTGTCCGCCACTTCGGCGCCACCGGCATTTTTCGAAGTTGCAGCCAAGCGGCGCACCACCCGCCGCACCTGGAGAGCGCCACGAGCTCCCTCCCAGGAGAAGACCATAGCGGTGGCTGCAGCTACAGCAGAGCCGCCTGCCAAACAAACAGTACACGCCAGGCCGCAGCCGCTGCCTCAAAACCCGGACGCACTCCATGTCTGCCCACCGCTCCGAGGGCTTTGCGCCTCCAAAACGCGCAGCTTCCGGTACCGACGGACGTCGAGGGGGTGGAGTTGCAGCCAAGTTCGCTCCGGACTAGGGGGCCGTCAGCTTCGGGGAGCGGCTGCTGCTCGGCGGGTGCAAGAGCGTGCGAATTGGGAAGGATGGAGGGGCGCGAGTGTGGCTGCGTTCTTGAATACCGCAAACGGGGCGACCCACAAGTGCAAGATAAGCGCTGAGCTTTGTGCACGTAATAAAAGTTGAAGCAGGGCCGGATGTTGAATACATTCAGGCCTTAAATTAAGCGGAGTTTTGAGCCTGCTCCTCCTCCCCTCTCCCAGCATTATAAATAAATGAACAAAAAAAAAGTTTATTTTTTTCACGTGGACTTGGCGATTGCTAATTAATAACCTACCAAAACAGGGTATCCTTCAAAAATGCTATTTGCGCTGGAAATATTACTTGAGAATGCACAAGGATACCTTGCAAATTTCGAAGATGCTAAATTTTCGATTCATAAACGGTTACGTAGCACTACTAAGTTAAAAAAAAACTGCTGGGTCGTTTGCAGGCCACGTGTATCTTACTTTTTTGTAATATTTGGAAAGCGAAGTCGAAAGACGAAAAAATGTATAATGTTCTACGATAATACTTTGTGTAGAACTCTTGTACACATATTTAATACAGAAAGCTTTTGTAACATTCTTTGTGGTTCAGTGAACAGTTTCAGTAGTTACCTTTCTCTAAGCAGTGTGTTACCATTAGGCTCAAAAAAGTCCCAACGTTGTTCCTACATTTGGGAAATTAATGATAACTCAGTAGATCCTGACACCATAAGTATTTGAATTACTTGGATAATTTTGTGACTGGAATGGGATGCATGTTTCTGGGGCCATGAGGGTTTTTGCTTTCTGCTTTTAGCTCTTTTGACTAAATGGCAGGCTGATAAAAGCATGGAGAGCATCTATCTTAACTCTTGGTTTGCAGAGAAGGTTGAGAGATTAAATAACAAAATTTTATTATTTTTTGGGAAGAGAATTATGAACTTTTCTGTTAACTAGTTGACACTTAAAGCAGTTGTAACTTGTAACCTAGATTGTCCATGAACTGTCAAGTTATCGGTATAATAAATTCATGAGCAATACAATGCACTCATTTTTTCCATTTTTCTTTCTTAATCTCTACTCTCTCTCTCTCTCTCTCTCTCTCTGTGTGTGTGTGTGAATAGACATGAGATATAAACACAAGTGTGTTATAGGTGGAGAACAATCCACTTAGATCTCTAAAACCCTGTAAATTATTCTTGTGTAAAAGAACTGTCATTTTGTGTGCCTGCAGCAGGTGGCAGTATGTTAAATGCTTTATGTTAGTACCGGTAGATGTCAGGACATGGTTCTCAAACAGCTCCCCCCCAATTAATAGTCTTTGGACAGTGATGTGGGCAGCATATAAGTTTAATAAATACATAACAAAAACTATTGTATGGAAAATAAAAGCACCAAATCTTCTTTATTATCTTGAGCCTGTAAATCATTCCTATTACTCTTGAGCACATTCAGTAGAGTTGCACAAATCAAATATTCTCATCCATTTTTTCTTGCCAGAACATATCTAGAAAAAGAATTAGATTAATACCAGACTATTAAAAGAGCATAGTTTCATAAAATCATAGTGTTAAGAGAGATCTTCAATATCTTTCAGACAAAGGTTTGTGTTTTCAGCCTTGACAACTTTTAGATGTGTGGACTTCAAATAAAAAAAATCCCCAGCCAACTTGTTTAATCCATACATCTTAGAATCTTGAAGGCTGGTCTAGTCTAGACCTTGGTATTTCCTCTCCTCAGACTGATACTTTAATATTCTTTATAGGAGAGTTCTTTGAAGTGCAGCTATATTAAAGAAAATAAATCTATGTTTTTCATAATTCCAATCAACAGCACAGGGAGAAAAGATTGCTATGGAGAAGGAATTAAATGTTTTCCTTCTCTAGAACAGTTTTGAAACAGAATACTGAGCAATATTCATGTGGTGCATTTACCCCTGAATAATTGAACTTGAACTTGGTTTTACTGAAGCCAATGTTATGAACTTGAAGGATATACTGAATTTCTATATAAACTAATGATAAAGGTTCATACAATACACCAAGAATAGTATGTGATTGTTTAAGCTGCCTATCTCATTCATTTAATTTCTTTGTACTTGGAGAGATAATTTAAAACACAGGAATACCATTTTTCTGGTTATCTCCTTTTTGTAGTCTTAGATTGTATTGTTTTTGTGATCTGGGCTATTTTTCATAATGTTGATCTTAAATATACCCTTAGAAAAGTGTGTTTATTTAAAATAAAACACATAGTTACTTTCATTTATGTATATTGCAGCTCTTTCTTATGGGGTACTGGAGCAACGTCTTGCAAAATCCACTACAAATATTCAGAACACGTTTGCAGCACAGCAGTTTAAATATTCTCAACATACAAATCACTGAGAAGCTATTATTAGTGGCACTAAATTCAGAAATAATAATATTCAAATGAAACTTACAGTGATTGTACCTAGGGATATGTAGATATACCTGTCAATGCAATATATTCATGGCAGTGATTGTGTGTGTGTGTCTCTTTGTGTGTGTGTGTGTATATAAAACCTTGAAATGGTTGGGTTTATCAGGCAAAACTGATTTTACTCTAGTTTACTTAAAATTGATTTTTATAAGGACAAATATTCTAAAGAAGAATAAGGGGAAAAATGTAAATAATAGAAGATTACCATTATGTAATCGCTGTTAAAAAAAGGGGGAGGAGTATATGCTGTGTGTGATGTTTTGCTTTGTTTTGCTTTGTTTTGTTGGTTAAAAATAAAAAAAAGAGAAAGCAAAACTAATTCTATAACATTGAATAGAAGTAATAATCATAAAATATATAAACCCCCCCCAAAATGATTTTAATAGATTAACTATCCTTAAGTATTTAAACACTATTTCTTGCCTTCCAAGTTTTACATTATAAGCTTTTTCCAAACTTGAGTTAAATAGCATGAACAATAACTATAATTGACATAATCTTTATATTTATATATTTAAGAAATGTATATAAATATTATAACATTTATATAAATGGAAAGTGGCTTTATTTATAAACAACTATGAGAGAATAGCAATTCATTGTTTTCAATTGTATTAGATACTATTCTATATACCATTGTACAGACAATTTCAAAACTAAAACTGAGCACTGCCATGATTAGCACTATCAAAACCAAATAACTTTTTCTCTATGTGGCAAAACCTTTCTTCTCCAGAGCTTATAGGTTGATTGGACACGAAGCATGGATCAAACTGGGCCATGTTCCTTAGCAGTATTTTTATAGATATTAATTATGGAATAATGTGAACAAATGGTATCTTTGTCTAATACTTCTCAGAGCTAGCTGGGATACTGAGTACAGCAGCACAAACCTTTAAACATTGCAATTTGTCCCACTGATTAAAAAAACAAATCATATAAAATTAAAAAGCACACATGTAAGGAATTTGTAGATGAAATGATAATGTCCACTTTCATGTGTATTAATTTAGGACTAAATTGAAAAACACAACTAGTGTTAACCAGTAACTGCAGTACATCAAAAGCTGCTTTACACCAAATTACTTTTTTGGTAATGGTTAACTATCTTCTTTGTAGCTCACAGCAGGGGAGAGTTTATTTTCTTTCCTGAATGCTGAGATAAAAAGAAAGGAAAAATTCCTGAGCGCTTTTATCATCTATTGAGTTGAGCTCATATCTTGTGACTTAACGAACACATCCAAATTTGGATTTGGGTGGGGGTTGGGCAGCAAAATGGAATTGGTTTGCCATGTGCTTCCTTGGGGATGTGTTCTAAACTTCCCAATCTAGCCTAGACCATGGTGGTCTTCCTTCATCATGTTACCCAGGCCTGATGTTTTTTTTAGCTTTGGAGCCTACTTCAGCTCAGCTGATTTGATATTAATTTTGAAACCTAGTTAATCATGTATTGCTTGTTAACCACTTATCCAATTTAGAGTACGAGAAAGGTCCACTGAGGTAAAAATCTTAAGTTGATTTTGAACAGTGTATTGCAATCTTTATTCAGAGAGGAGGAAGAAAGTTCATTTATAATATTGAGTGTTTGAATAAGGAGTCTTCAAACTTGACGCTTTTATGTGAACTTCAACTCCCATAATTCCTCAGCCAGACATGCTGGCTGAGGAATTCTGGGAATTGAAGTCCACAAGTCATAAAAGGGCCAAGTTTGAAGATCCCTGGTTTGAATACATAAGCTATACTTTTTTTAAAGCGTGAATAATCTTGTTGATTCAGAATAATTTTTCTTTTAATTTTAGTAGCATAGTGTTATAATCAGTGCTGCTATGTGTGGAACTACAGTGTGAGGACTTTTAAAATGTACATAAGAAAGCTACAAAAAAAGGTTAAAAGTATAATTCACCCATTTTTTTTTTAAAAAAGTATATATTCCTCTATGAGTGAATTGCCAATAGATGTAGATTTTATATGGACAAATATAACAACATATAGAATTCATTAATACAAAATACAGTAGGTTTTGATAGTTATATAATTATTAGAAAAATATATGTACTTGAATAATAATTGCTTTATAAAATATAAAATATATACACACACATATAGAATTGTAACTATATACTGCTAAAATGATAATACTTTTTTTTCTTTGTTGTATTTTTCAGATTTTTTAAAAGCACATTCTATACATTTTGTTTCTTTTCTTTGACAATGTATGTACTTTTATGATAATTATCTTTGTATTTTTTCATTTTTTTGTCTTTTTTAAAAACAAATATATTAACAATGTATTAATTTGCTAGATCACCCAACTACTGTGACAATCTGACATATAAACTAATAAAGTATGTTTTTGCTGAAACTTTTTGCTGAAAAAAGGAAAACTCAACCTGTGAATTTTGGATTTGATGATTATAAAAGGTAGATTATAGATAGAAGGAAATCATGATGTAACCTTAGACAGAGTAAAATAAAATCCTTCAATTCTTGTTCCAGTTTTACATATGGTGTTTTTACATGATTTTATACACACAAATCATTCTGATCAGTGGTGGGATTCAGCCAGTTTGTACCACTTCAGCAGAACCCGTAGCTAATTTTTTGTTGCCCAGGCCCAGAATGGACATCCGGAAGCAGCATCGACACAGAGAACCGGTTGTTCACATATTTGAATCCCCACTGATTCTGATCTGTTTTAACTAGAAATTCATATATTTCCTATTTGATTCCATTCTATCTGCTAGCCATTGTACAGTAGTTCTCTCAGTCTTGCCAAGTGCAATTATTTTTTCATAATCTATGTTCTGCTCATAACTCTCCCAAAGTACAATATGTACAATATACAGATTCTTTTTGTTGATAACTGCTACAAAGGAGCAATGATCCAGGGTTGATTGATTGGTTGTCTTATAGTCCATGACCCCTACCTCCAAATCCTTAATTTGAAAATGTCTATTTTTTTACTCTCTTTCTCAGAGTCCACTTCCACAGCTGGAAATGTTATCATTTTAGCAGTCACAATGTTGCCTACATCAAAGGTTGCCTACAGTAACTATATTTGACCTTTCCTGAGCTAAAATTTAACCATGAAATCACATTTGGTTCACTAATAACTTCTCATAGATAACATTCCACAACACTGTCTCACATTTATTTGGATCCTCTTGTTTGTGTATCACATCTTTTGTGTGTCAGCTCTACTGCATGTCAGCAAAAAAATGCCCTATGACTTCAACCTCCTCCTTTCCTACTTCCTCATTCTGCAATTCAGCCATTTCTCATAAAATGAAAGGAAAACATATTATTGACCCACAAGAAAAATACATCTAGACCAGGATAGTATCTTTATTACAAAAAACAAGAGCATTGGAAAATTGCCAATAACCCTTTGATTTCTTAAAAAAAAAATCAATAAAATTTGTATTGGTAAAGTTTTAAGACTGAGCATGGGAAGAAATTCTGATCTTTCAAATGAAAGTTCCTACCATAACTATTTGAAGATATTGTACAATGGTCCATATTTTTTTCCTGTCATGCACAGAATTGTTATGTAGAATTCATCTAACTCCACCTTATTTTTTGAGTGGGGTGATTCCATTCAAACAAATGGAAATATTCTAGATAATGACAGAGCTTGAAGCATAAACCAAACCTGAATTAAACTTTAAAATTATCAGCTCCTAGTTAGATGCTTGTTATTGTTCAGTCGCTGTGTCTGATTCTTTGTGACCCCATGGGACATAACAGGCCAGGCCCCCGTTTATACTGTCTCCCAGAGTTTGCCCAAATTCATGTTCATCACGTTGACAACACTATCTAACCATCTTTACCTCTGCTGTCCCCTTCTCCTTTTACCTTCAATCTTTCCCAACATCATAGTCTTTTCCAGTGAGTCCTCTCTTCTCATTAGGTGGGCAAAGTACTGGAGCTTCAGCTTCAGTATCTGTCTTTCCAAATAATTGCTAGGTGCAACACACTGCTATTGAAAAAAGAGAGAGAGTGTGTTTGTTGGTCGTAGCAGATAGCTGATTTTGAGGAAGTTAA